TCAAATATCGATATAAAAAAAATTCGACACAATTCAATGACAAGAGATCTGGTAAATGGAACACTTAAAGTCCTTGTAAGGCCAAGATGGATGTAAAAAGTGATCGAAAACATAATGCAAGAGAACTGAAATAAAGCTGTACTGCGCAGACAAAACGTCGTCATAATTACAGTCATCTATTTTACGGACGGACTCTCAAATCATAATGTATGGATTCACTTCGCAACGATTCCTGTTTGAGGCAATCACACTGTTGTCTTAGCAGCGCAACTCCGACAGACAGGCCACGCTTGAGGTCTCTTGAGGGACGATCGATCGTCGGTCAACAGCCGACATTCTTAATGACGTAAGGAACTGCCACCCGGGTGACCTTGGTATGAGTAAGGCACGGGTTATATGGCCCATTGTCAGATGCAGCCCGACTGAACGGCGGATAAGAAACTTTACGCAGTCTGGACCCATCACCTAATGAAAAAAACAGTAAACGTAGAATAATTTACTATCGAAGGTCACCGTAAGGTGTGTTAAAAAACGAGAATCGTAAATTTCAAAACTTATTTTTCTATCCATACGTGTATGCATAAATCACGCAAGTATTAAACTTAGGTTCAAATATTTCCTAAACAAAAAATGTCGAAAATCACTGTTCTTCGTATTCGGCAGGTTCTAGGCTCAAATCTCGACCCGGTACCGGCTATTCTGACTGTTCCGTGGTCTTCCTCACGTTCTTCAGGCAAATTCCAAGACAGAACCTTGAATCCTTCCCACATTATCAGTCATTAAATCATCTTGTGATTCGACGCCATGTAACCTACTGAGGGGGTCGTTAAAAGAACCATAGATGAAATGAATGATAAAACACCAGATTACTTCTCGCACTGTTCTCCAAAAAGGATTTCATGAACAAAAGTGTGCGAAACCTCAAAACTAATGGTCACAACAGCAAGCGACCATTTTTAAAATTCGTCGGCGGAATACAACATCGATTACTTCCCAGCGTTAACCAACTGAGCTTTGTAATGGAGACGCGTTGTAGTTTCCGTGAGGTAGGAGATGGTGCGGTGTAAACCCGGTGGTAGACGTCCATACGTTTCGCAGAAATCTACAGTCTCCATCTTCTGAACTTCGGCGCCAAAACCGAGGAGATCACCATCATCGAAAACATTCTTTAGAACTTAGAACAGATTCGACTTCAAAGGGTTAATATCCGCTTCTGGCACTTTAAAGGATTGGGCACCCTTGTAAAAGGCGGCGTGAGTCACGGAGTCTGCGATCGATAGGGAAGGAAATACGACCAGGCAGAAGACCGCAACAGCAATCTCAGAGCCTAAATGGATCCATCATCAATTACCAGGAATCACACCACGCGTAATAAGTTAGGCAGAGTCCGCGATGCTTCGTTTCTACCACTAGTTCCTACACTGGAATTAAGCTATTCAGTAATCTTCCCCCTACTATCAAAGGCCTGAATCTCACGATATAAAAAGGTTTACGCCAGCACTAAGAGAGTATCTCCTATCTCACTCGTCCTACTCCACAGAAGAATTTATCGCATTCAAAAACTCTCAGCAATAATCATGACGATTTTTTGTGTAATTATTTTCGCTGTAATACTAGAGGATACTGTAAATCCCCGTTTATTTATGCTGACATCCTTGACCCACGAAGGATGTATAGAATGTTGAGTACATTCTATTCTGCTGTCCGATGACCCCCTCCGACATCTGAACCATTAACTCGAAACTGCACGAAACGTAACAAAATGTCACTCCTCTTATTAAAAGAAGCCTCACCCGCCTCCTGGTAATCTCCAGCTTATCATTCGCCTTGATGGTTTACGCTCTGTGTTATGATGATTACGGCATTAAGCGATTGTGATTCCAGATTTAGTTTTCCTGTAGCGATTTTTACTTCCAAAGCGTTACTTTCGATCCATATTCTATTCCACATCCTTCTACTGAACGTTGCGGTCGAGTGGTTAGCACTCCTACTCCATATTCGGGACTTCCCGGGTTCGAATCATTGCCCGGTGACCGGCTATCTCGCATTTTCTCCTAACTGTTTAATTGTAACACCTACATTCTGATTTAAGTTTTTTGTGGCAGTTATATTTTATGCAAATCCATGCGTTGCCTACCCCAACCACTTGCAGTGCGTAAAATTTGAAACTGAATCACGATCTCTGCTGGTTACATCAAATAAAACAGTCCGTCATTCAACTGTTGTTGTTTTTTTCCTTGTATAACAATTATAATTAATTTTACTTCTGATATTTTATGCATCAATCTCAGCACGTTTTTCAACCCTACTTGGAATTAACCTTCCCCGTCTTTTGTAATTAAACCTTCGTGCGAGTGTATTTTGTTAAAATTTATATTGACACTGAACTTCAGCAATCTCAATTTCGTATTCTGGTATTTATTACGCTATACGCATTTCCTTTTTCTTCGGCGTGTATTATCAGAATGAACAAATCTTAAAGGCACGCGATGTGGCACAAGACGGGGCACGTACGCACGCACGAGATGAAGAAATTCTTAAAAATTTTAATCATTAAACTTGAACGGGACAGACCACTTGGGCTACCTAGGTGTAGACGGGAGGATAATATTAAAAACTTAAAGATATGACAGGCGTCATGGTCTGCATTCATCTGGCTCAGGAAGGAGGTCACTGGGAGGTTCTTACAAACACGACATTGAACGAAGATGAATGGATCAATTAAACATGGTCAAACACCTCATAAACAAAACTTCTATAACAGTCCTCAACCAAAGCTGTTCATTTAGCGGAATTTTATATTTGTGATGTTAATGCTTTTATAGCAGAGGTGGGGCAGCTCAGGTGGTGTTCCAACTAGGGTACAGGGTGGACAACCAAAATTCAATTTAAAGCATGAGCAGAGATTTCTCTCTTTACTGCATCTGCACAGACTCTTAAATCCTGCCTGGCCTCTTATCCAATGGGTAGTGAGGACTCTTACCTCAGGGGCAAAGCATCCAAGTTGTGTAGTTGCCCACTCTCATTTGGTGCCACAGTGAAGAATGTGCGGACCTACGCTCCACTTCCCCACACACCTTCATGGCACAGCGTTCAAGTACTTTGTGTTATGGTGTCATGGTAAATTAGTACCTTCAGTACGATATTTGAGGTTATCACAGTGATGACAATGTCGATGGTGGTCTTCTCAGTTGTGATGCCAAGTGGACTTATAGGTGGGTACCAACATCTGAGATGAACATATTATCCCCATCTTCAGCCTTGAAGATGGAGGCAGCAAGGAAGATGCAGACAGTGTGTTGACCTGAAACGCTGGTACCCACCTACAAGTCCACACAGCATCAACATCACACCAGCACAAAATCTTACATTTAAACCAAGAAACTTCCCACAACAGCTGTCACTTACTGCCATTACACACTGGGGAACACCTTATAATATAGTCTGATTTGGCCATTTACTATGTCCCCAATAAAAAACGTTCTGAAACTATGCATCCTACGCTGCTGTGGTTAAAAAAAACTGAATTTCCAGCACTCAAATAAAATATGGAAAAGCCTGAATCATTTACTTCTCTGCATACGAATCAGCATTTAAATAGTAGCAAGACTGGTGCCAAAACATGCCAAACTGCTCTACAAAACATTAATCGGTCAAGTGGTGGATTGTCCTCTATCCAATCACCTTTGATATTTAAAAGAACTGTGGCTGGCAGAAGACAGCTGTTGAGTTCTTTGGTGGTTTCATGTAAGGTCCAGAAAGGAACTGATTCTGTCACAGGACTTTAATAATAGTAGCAGCAGCAGCGAGTGGGTGGGTGTACCCACCATCCCTTAACATGGTCTCTATGTACATCCTGTTAAACTATGTATTTCATAAGTAATGCAAACCACCACAGTTTCACATCTCTAATTTAAATTAATGTTATACTTAAAAAAAGATTTTATTCTACACTGCTACATTATAAACAAATACAATTAAAAAAATCACAAAATACTAGCTCAGGCTTCTTTAATATTGTGTAGAACGAATGATGGGGCACGGGTGATAACAACGCTGATCACATACACTGTGGTGGCAGATACGTTTTTGACGAAACTCATAATACTACATCAACATGGAAGCTCTCCTTGCTGAATACAGCCATGGACCTGTGTGCCAAGGTAAAAATCCTTCCTTGAAACTGTATGATGAAAGACAAATTTTGCCTATTAACCTTTTAAAAATTAAACAGTGCATAAGTGATGGCAAACTCCCCTTTTCACCACAGAACAACAAACCTGCTACAGTTCTAAAAACTGCTGTAAGAAAATTAACCATGCAGCAGTAGAAGACGTAAACCAGAATAATGACACAAAGAATGCCTAAACACATACCACAAAAGGAAAATAAATGTTAATATAACTAAACACAAATTAAATGACAGGCCAGCATCCAATATCAAAATCCTCAGTCTGTAGCAATTTGGAAAATTATGAGTGTCAGAAGAATATAAGAAGTAGCAACTAAACTTTGAACATTTGAGAGTAGTTACTTATGATACCACATAATTACCACTGCTGTATAAAATCTAAAATTTGCTGAAATAAGTGAAGTCTAGAGCGCAATACCACACACTTCAGTTCCAAGTCAAAATGTGTATAAAAACCACCTTATATCCAACATGCATTGGAAGTGTTCTTGTCTGTAAAAATAAATTCCTTCACATTCTTTGGGGTAAGAAGGAGGTGTGAGGGAAAACTAAATACCTACAACAGTTACTTCCAAACAGCATAATAAAATCAGAAAATAAATGTTCATCTTTCCAAAATGGACCAACTACACCTTATAAAAATGTGCCAGCTGATAATACTTGTTCCACATAACCATTTAAATAAACATCCCTTAACAATGAACCTTTCATAAAACTGTTGACTTCTTAGATTTAACACCGTTATCATAAGAAACCTAGAGACGAACACTAACGCTCGTAAATGGTAAAAGCTTTAAAGTTGCCATACCTTTGAGGAGTGGGAGAGGCTGTAATTCCAAATCTGCAGAATTCCTGTATCTTGATGATCCCTGCGACTTTTTGGTTTTCTTCTTCAGGGAACGTTTCGCAAATGGATCTATCCTATCCACAAAGGTAGCAGAAGACATGTTGTCTGATTTATACTCTACTGTAACAATCTTGCACCTTTCATTAACTTCGTTATTTAAAGTTTCTCTTAGATTGCACACTACGCATTAATTCAAACATTATTGCTTATTGCACGTAATGATAAAATTAAAATATTATCTAAAGTTAAGCACGCCTTGAAACAAATATATCACTGTTTCTTAAATCACATACAAACACTGATACTCCAGCTTATACTGTTCACAAAACAATTACACAATTCACTCTATGTTGATTTACAAACATATATCCGAAAACTGTGTAACCGTCTATTAAAATCCATACGCGTGAACGTGATAGTTCCTATTTTGCACGCCCAGCTCAACTCACTATCCTCAGGCTTATCGCCTGCCGGTTTCAGGATTATTGAACATTACACGAATTCGACTGAACGAACACACTCCCGATACTTGCATATTAAAATTTCCTACAAGCAATACATGGCAGACCATCCCACTTCTATTTTCAGTAGAAATGGACGTTTATTTTCGATCTTCTACAGCTCAGATGACTCCCAAGTTCACGAAATGAGAGATGCACAAACAGCTCTCCACCGCCATCATCTGCTGATTTTCTGCCACCTTCTTCATTTTCACAATGAACAAAGATTTTGTCGAAACAAAAAATATATATCCCACATACTTAAGTTCCAAATAACTGCACTAAACTAAACCTCCGATTTTACCGAAAACGTATAAAATATCACTTTTTGTCACAAGACATCATTAAAGTTCGAAATAAAACCGTCACACAAACCGTGAGCTGAAAATAGTAATCTGGATATCTCGTAATTCACGAGAAGAAACAAACTACACGTTAGTTATTAATACTACCTGAAGATGGCATACCAGCACACTGAGAACAAGTCAAATTATAAACCATAACGCATTTATTAACTTTCCATACCGCACATTATTTCATTCGCAACACATTTCTATTTAATCTATTTTTAAGTATTTTAATTATGGTACAGATGTATTATACTCATACTAATTAGAAGCCAACTTGAGATCGTTCCCAAAGACATGGCAATATTGGATCACTCCCCATAGTAACGCATAGAGAAAGTGGCAATTTTCCATTGAATTACTAATATCAGAGCCTACTTAAAAAATCGATCAGTTTAAGACACTGTTTGAAAATAATGCATACGGAAAGTGAGTTAATGTAGGAGATTTGAAGTTTTCATGACTGTCTTCCAGATTGTGAAGACTCGTAGTCTTATTGATGGTTAAAACTTTCAGATGATCCAATGTTAGAAAGTTTTATAGGAACGTATTACCTCTACTTTCAAGAAGATGATAGCCGATATTTATATCACATTTTTCCACTTCCTTTCACTTCAAACATGTTATTGCAAATCCATTTTCACCCAAAAAATCTAAATTATAAAGAGATTGTCATGTTTTTACGAGTACATTTTCAAAGCATTTGCATTACCAAGGCAAAAAATGTCAAAAGAGTTATTTACTATTCATCCCAACCCATATCATGACAACTGGAGGATGATGTACTAGTTCTGTAACAAAATGAAAATTCTCCTCGGATTAGCCCACAGAGTTTCGTGATGACAGTTTTAGTGTAACGCTTATTCATCATTGAAGACGATTTTATCGCGTTTTGGTATTATGTTAAATGTGCTAATCATCCTCACATGGGCAGTTTGTCCGTAATACGTATCATTGTCTGTTAACTCCCGAACGAACATTAACCGATATGGTTGCAAATTTAGGTCGACTTTCATATGGTTTTGCATTGCCGAATCTGATATTTCAAGCTCTGCGAATCGTTTTACGGGTTGGCTTGTGTGGTGAACTGGTAACAAATTCCATGAGTGTTCAGTGGAGGGAAACACAGCTAAACACATATTACACGTGATTGTACCGTTTTATTATCCATATTGTTCTAAAAGTTATGACATGGTCATAAAAGGCTTTTCGGTATTTATGACTGTATAGTTCTGAAATGTGGTTCTTGGAATCTGTGTATCGAAAAACAAGGGTTCCGTGCATCAAATGTTTGAGCAGTACCCTGGTGCCTGCAGGTTTTGCGTCATAGTGAAGTGTCTTTACGTCTCAAGGTCCTTTGTCACTCTAAGCAAGTGTTGATTTGTATAGCTACGTACATGTTTATCATGTGTTTGTAATTGAAGGAGTATTCATTCTGTCAATTGTATCGTTTCCGAGACTCAAACAGTATCTTAAAAATCTAAAATATGGGTAACAGGTCATCGTTGCTGCTGCGAGAAGAAGAGATTGCTCAAATTCAAGAAGAAACGGGATGTAATAAATGGTTTAATTTATTTCATTATTTTAAGCGTTATAAAACGTGTACTTTGCCCAACAATTAACCTCGTATGTGCACTGAAATCAAAGTGAAACCTGTAATAGCTGCTATAAAAGATACAAAAAACATGATAAAATTTATTTGTGAAACTCGAAAAAATCCCTCAAATTTGTGTTAATTTTGGGGATAAAAAGTCAGCGTCTCTTATTACAGAGAATACTGTTATGTTGACTTTTATTGACACGACCATATTCAAGCAGAGTATGTGAGGTTAGAATAAATTTAGGGCAGGGATGGAATGGCTTTTGTTAGGTCCAGTAACTTGTTGCCTGATAAAATTGTATGTTGATCGAATGAACTGAGAAATTAGATGTAGATTTAATTCAGAATTTTGTAAGGGTATATGTTTTTATCAACAGTTTATAGTATATTGTTTTTCTTAAATCACGATGATCAGTTTGGTAGACTGGGGTTAGGCAAGAAATGCTACTGTGAGATTTATTATTCAGTGCTAGAAGAGGGGAAAAGGAATTGGGATGATGCATTTTCATTTTCTATTACAAAGAAAAGTGACATTATGTGGGAAGTGCAGTAACAAGCATATACATAATTCTAGGTTTCTGAAGGAATGTATGAGTTTGCTGGCCCAATGAAGGGTGGTTAGTTTTTACAAAACCCAAAGATCTTTAACCATACAAATTTTAATGGGTGCCACATTGATGACTGTAAATTATGGTGTCATAAATTATGGTAAATTATGCTGCATCAAGTGCAGATTTTATTTTACATCTTTGGAATCTTACAAATCTGGGATATGATTATTGTTTGTTTAAAGCATCACATATTTAACCCCTATCTTATTCAATTTGGTGTAGCTATAGTGTCTTGAATGTCAGTTATTGAATTTAGTTTTCCTAGTGTAACATTTTCAGATAGTAGTGGACTTCCGAACTCAAAACCTTTTTTTTTTTTTGCTTTCTTCTAACCTACATTATTAACCTACCAAGTTATAAATTGTATATTTGTTTGTTAATAGTTACACCCAATCAAATAGAGCGTCTGTACAGCAGATTCACAAGTTTAGATCGTGGTGACTGTGGGACTCTGAGCCGCGAAGACTTCTTACGTATTCCAGAACTTGCCATAAATCCTTTGGGTGACCGCATAGTACATGCTTTCTTTGAAGAAGGCTGCAGTGATCGAGTCAACTTTCTGCAGTTTATGCAAGTCCTGGCCCACTTTCGTCCCATAAAGAAAGGCAGGGACAACAAACTGAACTCAAGGGAACAGAAGTTAAAATGTGAGTGGCACAATACAGTATGATTGCTGCCTCCATTATCATCGCTGTGATGATGGAAGCAGCAAGTACCTCTGAAATGTTGGTAAACTTCTACTAGACTGCATGCTGATTTAACCCAGAAGACACAATGCAGAGTTGCTGACTGTTAAAGTGGGTGGTACATGTAGTTATCATTGGGTTTTAAGGGTTAAACTTTATAGTGTCTTTCAGGCACTTTATACTGTTTTTTTCTACCAAGTAGGGTGAATGTTTACATCGCTATCCATAGTGTAGGCAGGTACACAGGTGCTTGAGATGAATGTTATTTTACAACCACATTAAATAAATAGTGTTTTGGAAAATTATCTTACTCAGGACTGAAAGTGTAAAAATTGTTCGCTTGTGATTTTCAGTTGCATTCAAGATGTATGATTTGGACAATGATGATAAGATTTCCAAAGATGAACTCTTAGCTATTCTTCACATGATGGTTGGGGCAAATATCAGGTAAGAAACAAACAGAACAAGAAAACACTTTCATAAAATGACTTGCATATACTAGCAGTTTATATTTTACTGATTTTTTTTTCTTTTTTCCAGTGAGGAGCAGTTGACGAGCATTGCTGAGCGTACAATTGTAGAAGCAGATCAGAATGGTGATCAGATGATTTCCTTTGAGGAATTTTGTAATGCATTAGAAAGAACTGATGTCGAACAAAAGATGTCGATCAGGTTTCTTAACTGAAATATTAATGAATTTAGAAGCTTAATTTGTTGTTATAGAAAGGTAATTTCCTTTGTGAAAAGTATGAAGATATGTAAAAAGCCTTTGTATTCCATTATCAAGATATTTTATATTAGTTTTGAAAGGTAGGTTGCTCTTCAGTAACATCTCAAATGCTGTAATGAGATTACTGTATGTGTATTATATTTTGATTGTGCTGGTAATCATAATTGTACCATATTCAGCACTGTAATATATGAATAAATGCAGTTATTTTAATGTGAATGTGTTCATTAAAAAAATAGTGTTCCTGTATAAATTAAATATAATGTAGGTAAATAACCTCAATTTTAATGATAATTCTCTAAAGGTTTGATATATGGGTCATTCAGTAAGGTACAAATACTTTAAGCATTGTTAACTGTATGAGGATCATTTGATAACACCCATTCTTTGATTTATAAACATTTCGTTTGATGAAAACTGTTTTTAAAGTGCCCATTAATTTACCTGCAACAAATTGTGGTTCCAAACTTCCAGAAAAAAAGTTAGAATACTGTATACAATCATTAAATAACAACAGTATTACTTGTTTATGATAGCAAAAATAATGTTTGTAGGTTGAAAATTGGGTACAAAATTACAGTTGCACAAATTTTTAATTTCTGTAAAATTGGAGACTTCATTACTTTGATTGGCTGATACCTTCTCTGGTCAACACTGCATTCTCATTCTTCACCATTATTTTTCTTTTCTTTTATGGAGTGTAAAAGGAAGAAGCAAAAGAATTAGAGTGGACATCAACATTAGTCACATGCATTGGATCTGCCTCATCTTATAAATCATCTAATAGTTACTGCAACACACTGGGCATTATTCCAGGATAACTTCACTCTTTTTAATACTTTTTGTATGTTTTCATTGATTTTATTAAATTTTAGACCAGAGGTGGTAAATCTATCTGCTCTCTGGTTCAAAATTAACATTACATTGACTAAATTTAAAATTAGACTAGCATAAAGAAAAATATATTTTTACAATGAATTCATGGATAAAATGGAATACAACTGTCACAGGGACTCCTGCCACCGCAATGTCGTGAAGACTGGTAAGTGCAGCTTCCACAGATGTTCACTTGGCCCAGTGACCAACAATGCTGCAATTGATAGCATGAACCCCACACACTCGCTGCAGTTGCTTGTTGTTTCCAGCAGTCTCCTCACACACACACCCACACCAAGAATTAAATTACATTGCTTCTGACAGACATCAGTGGGTGTAGCAATCAAAGTTTGATGAATGCTACAGCAGTCATTTGTGAGAGGATATATTTATGATAAAAGTAAGTGGGGAGGATGTATCTATAGCCTGTACAAGTATGCTGTTGAATAAATATTGATCTCAAAGAAAATTATGGGGAAATTACTTCTGTTGTGATCCTCATACATTCATGTCAGTATTTTTATCTGAATGCCTATATTGGTACTTCATGGTCACATCTGCCTGTCAAGACTGCAACTGTTCATGGTAACATGCACCCTTCGGTCCACAAACTCAGAAGATAAAAGCAGAGGTTGGTGTGGAGGTACTGGTGACAAATGAGGATACATGCTAACAAAAATATGGTAAGAGTAAAGGGGGGGACAAACCAAAGGTTGCAGAAGGAAGATAGTGAAATTGTGCAGGGAATCATGTCTGTTGTGAATTCAGTATGGGACACTGAAATACACATAATTCACAAATTCAAAATTTTAATACCCTTTGACATTTAACTATATGAAGTCTATTGACGTGAAACAAGGGCTGATCATAAAATTCTGGAACTTATTCTACTGGATGCTAAAACCTTAATCTTAGTCCATACTGAAGATAAGCTCTTTCTCATGGGACGAAATGAATGATGCGGGTAATCGAAAAAAGTAACAAAGTAAACAATGCAAATGTTCTTTTGGAGACATATTTTGGGTACATAAATCAACAATTTCTGACCACAGAATTCATATGCTTTCAAGTTTAATTAACCTGCAATACATGGTATCATTTGTCCTAGATTTGTTATAGATTCACCAACAAAACTTGTACAAGCAACGTCTTGTCTAAACAATGGGTTTAATAACTTCCACCTCCCAGATAACTTTAACCTAAAAATTCTCAAATTCTGTTTATTAATTTATTTAGCCCTCTTTAGAATACTACTGACTGGAAAAAGCTCATTTTCTGAAGTGATTCTTAAAAATTATGGGATACAGTGCCGTCTTCAGCTTCATCAAATCATGTGGTCCAGATGTCTTCTTATCAAACTATATTTATCTTAATGACAAATTTTTGCACTGCCAGTCTAGACACCCTCATATGCACTATCTTCTCTCAAACACAACTGTCTTGTAAAACATTTCTCCCATACAGAAGTTCTTTAACCACTGACATGACAACTAGAATCATTATGTTCAATCACGGGTGGACTACTTTGAAGGCAATGAATGTGATCAACTGATATGATTTTCAGTTTTCATAAAAAAGTCCTGGAATTTTATGACCTGCCCTTACAAATTTAATTTACAATGACTGAGAACTTCCTTATATTTATAACATTTCTGAACAGTATTAATAAAAAATAATTACGGAAAGAGACCTTATTAAATAGACTGACTACAGTTTGAATACACAGTAAGTATATATAATTCAGGATGCAAGTGTTTCCACATTAAAGTTGTGTGCAACAGAGCTGAAATACTGCTCAACAGTAATCACACAATATGTACCACAATTAATGCACCAATGAACATAAAGTTCATAAAATCTACGCAGTTGAAGAAACAGCCAGCTTCTTGAGATGTTCCATAAAAACTTGCAAGCTGACATCATCTGTTAAGACAGGAGAACCACTTTCCTGAAATGTTGAAACAAAAGTAGTTACATATTTTGCTTAAGTTAAGAATATCTAATACTAAGAATTAATATTTAATGTGATATAATTATCCACTTAAAAGATCTATGGTAGGAGAAAAGCCATCTCACAGAAGAGGCTAACATTTATGTTCCATTCACCAACAAAGGAAGCTGTTATACAAGATGTTCATTTAATCTGGCTTCATATACACCAAATCTCTACCTTCTCATGACTATGCTGCACTAATAGTGTATTTATATTAGTTAAAATTACCACCCACTAGCCACATTAATCCCTGAAGCAATATGTGCAAACTGAAAATAAGACTTTTTTCATTAAAGTTGTTTACAATTATTTATACTACATATCCCCTTGTAGTCAGCAACTTTTCTTCACTCAGCACAATTATACTATATTAACAAAGCAAAGTAATGGTGCCTGAAACAGGCACATAAATACACAAGGAGCAAATGCAATGCCTTATCTGTGAAGTCACAGGATTACATTCTGAGTAACAGCAATGACAAGTGAGGAAGAATGGGTAAATTGAGACATTTAATGATATCTCTCAACTGATGTCGAGAGAATACGGCTGGTGTCAAAAGGCAAACTCACATAAATAGTGCTGATTTTTTAAAATAAATAGCTGATGAAGATTATAAAGGATTACTGAATATTTGGAAATACACTGATTCTTTATACAAATGCTTTTAAGTACTCAAAAATGTGATAAGGCAAGCCTGAAAAGTAAATAACCTTAGCAACACAATATTCACAGCTAAGATGGGGCTGAGAACTTCAAATCTACTTGTAACTAAGTCCCAACTGCAGCCATGGGGCAAGATGTACAGGATGAATAACCTGCACAAATTATAAATGGGGACAGGAAAATGAAGAATGAGTACTGACGAGAACAAGGCAAAGATTGTGTCAATACCACATGAGATATAGCAATACATATGTACAGGCCAAGTTATGCATTCATTTCACTACCCCACTAAAGAAATCCAATGCCAACCCTGTAAGCAAACACAGCAGGCTAAATGAAAAGTTAAGACAGAAAGCAAAGCCTTGTATTGGAGTCATGTGATGTCTCCAACACAAATCAACATCCATTTCAGTCGTGCATTTAAACCACTGTTATCCAAATAAAGTTCACAGCTGCAAAAACATGGAGGATTACACATTAATTTATAAAAGAGCAGCTGACAATTAAATTGTATTAGTAAGTGAACATCTTGTACATAATTACATAATACCTGACATCTGTTTCAGATGCTTTGAAAAATTTAATGTTTTGTAACTTCATCCCTTATATTTGAACCTGCCACATTAGACTGAAACATGAAGTTCAACAAACAGAAACTAATGAACAGTGTGTGTGTGTGTGTAAAAGTGACTGAGAATAATAATCAAGAATTCATCAGGTAGGTAAAACTCATGAAGTACCACCCATTTCCACAATGTTTTGACAACAAAACTAGGACTAATGGACATGGGTTTTGTTTAAAGGTTAATATTACATAAAAAATAACAGATAATTAATTTGGAACATATTAATACTGTGAAGATTATGAGTAATTCTTAAAACAAGAACTTTATTACTTTATTACATGTTGTTTCATGCAATGTAAATTTAATTAGGTTCAAAATGAAGATGGCATTGATAGATGTTGAAAATGTTATAATATCCAATACTTTCCAATGTATTATGGGCCAACTGGTCCTTATGATGACCAAGTACTTAGTTCTCACCAATTTAATTGTGTCAGCAGAAAACATGAAAATATTATTGCAACTTCTGTGCTCAAATTGGAGAACAAGATCTAAATACACAACATGAAATATTTAAAAACTGCCTCCCACCACCAAAAAGTAAGAATATAAAAATAACACTACCGCATTTGGAATCGGCATCGCCTGTTGAGAACAAAAAGAAAAAAAAAATATTAAACTGCTGAAAAACTAGCCATGAATAACACATAACAAATTAAGATCATAATGGTTAAATGTTTCCATTAGACGGCCTATTCACTTGTGAGTGTTCAAAATGGGAACTTCATTAAACATACTTATAGACAAAGGAAAATAGAACAAACATTTGAATGTTAAATTGACTAAAAAGTGTCCCAATAAGTGATACTACTGTAAACAAAGTATTTCAGGAACTTTAAGAAGATACATTTACATCATGTTTTGTGTTCTAAACAGCTTTATTAGCCACAAAAGAAAAAGTTGAGCTGTCTGCTCAAGCCAGGTAACACTAATCTGAAACACACATATAAAGTACCAGGTGATTCAAAAAGGACTTCACAACTTTGAAAGTGTATAGAAATTTAATCAGAAAGCTTACAGAATCGGTTGAGGTGTCATTTTGTAGCAAAACAAATCGAGTTTGACTCATGTTGTGCTGTAGTACCGAATTCCATCACCGTGAGCGCAAGCGGCAGTGCATTTGAAAATGGCTAGTTTTTCCGGAGCGGAGCGCACTCGCTGTGTGCTACGGTTTGAAGAAACGAAGTCTGCGACAATGGTTCAACGAAATTTTCGCACCCAGTATGGTAAGGATCCTCCTAGTAGACGTACAATTTACTCTTGGCACAAGAATTTTGTTGAGACTGGTCGTTCTGTTCGCGCATTTGGAATCGGCATCGCCTGTTGAGAACAAAAATAAAACTGTTGAAAACCTAGCCAGGAACAACACATAACAAATTAAGATCACAATGCTTGAATGTTTCCATTAGAGAGCCTACCATAAATTCACTTGTGAGCGTTGGAAATGGGAACTTCATTAAACATACTTAGACAAAGGGAAATACAACAAACATTTGAATGTTAAATCGACTAAAAAGTGTCCCAATGTATAAACATGTATAAAAATGTGTAAACAAATCATTTCAGGAACTTTAAAAAGATAACACATTTACATCATATTTTGCATTCTAAACAGTTTTATTAGCCACAAAAACAGTTTAGCTGTCCGCTAAAGCCAGACAACACTAATCTGAACACACACATAAAGTACTTCAAAGCTGATACAAATAACTGCAAAAAAAATGGAGGTAGAGGGTGGGAGAGAGAGGAACATAATTACTATTTTGCACCACTGTCAAAAACATTCATCCTTTTTATGAACTTCTTCCCACTTCTCATCCGCAAGCAAAGAAACAAGAAATCTATGAAAAGTGCGGAAAATTAAAAAAATCAACCAAAATTAGATTTTTTGTCTCAAATAATGCTTCTACCAAATACTAATCTGTGAATATCCCCTACTGTATGAATGAAAAAATTAAAATTAAGTAATGCTATGAGAGCAACACACAAAAATATAAAGCCAAAATTATAATACTTACCCCTCCATAGGCATACATGTTGTTATGAGTTTGTGAAGGATTGACTTTTGACAGCAGAAATCGGGCCTGTAAAATGCAAACACAGAATCTAACCTAAGACTAAACGTAGGATTCAAATTACATGGTAAATATACTTTAAATTCTCTGGGTAAGATTTGTAAGCAGATGTGTGTCTGATAAGAATCTTTAAATTATTCAAGGAATTATTACTCTGACATACCTCAAGAAAAACTTGGATATCTCAGGGTTGCATCTGTGTAGGTGTTAAACAGTGATATTTTATATTTTAAATAGAAAGCTGACTCCTTGTGACTGTGCCTACTGCATTTCTATTCATGTTTATTTATTACCAGTACAAATCTAACACAGATAATACACAGCTAAATACACCAGATATTACATTTTAAGAAAAAATATTTTCCCTTCTATTCTGTTAGACACATAATAAAGTATTTAAAAAGAAAAAACGCATATTGATGAAATCTATATGTTGTGTTACGTACCACTTCTTTTGTGCACTGGGCTGTTTTTTTTAAAAACATTATAAAATCTTCTGAGTAGTTCTGAAGATCAAACATCTCATCTCATCTCATCTCATGCACTTAAATACATGCTAAAAAAAACTTCTGTTGCTGAAACTGTATTACTGACCTGTGAGCCCCCCTGCACTGTATCAATATAGCGAGGCATTGGGAATCGTGTCTGAAGAATTTCTTGTGCATCATCTATAGGTGCCTGGAGCAGCTGCAGGAAGTTCTCATATTCTGGCATATCTTGGTAATGTAAAGATCGCCACTGAGCTATGGTCTGAGGAAGTTAAAATTAAGAGAAAATTCATAATTTATCTGTCATTAGAGGAAAATAAATTTCTGGGTAGTTGTTGGGTTTTATGGCAACATAAGACTTGTTACAGGAACCTATAAATATAATTAATAACAATGACTTGAGTGACATCTATACAACTAATTAACAAATAAACCTGTTTCTACAGAAGTAATAGGTTATCCTGTTTTAAGGAACAATAAACTTGTTTTCAATAAGATTCATTTCATGTTCCAATTATTATTCATCTCTATGGCTACATTAAGAAATAAATAAATTTATTCAAAGTAATTGTTAATTTTCTGTAACTGGTTTACAGGACAATTACATATCTGGTTCCAGTCAGAGGAATTTTCTGGTCTAAGTGTAATTCAGATTCCATTATTATTATATGTTACTTCTGCCGGTTCAAAAATTGAGCAAACATGAGAAACAAACAAATAACATTATCTGGGGATTCAACAAGCTGATGCAATACCGCCAAGCTATTGGTTTCCTTGACTGCTGACCTTAGGGTCTCTATGACACTAGACATATTGTTGGTAAAATTAGTTACTTTAATAACACTTTATTATATCTGATAGGTAAGCATGTTTGAAACATTCCACTACAGCAGTGGATTTGACTCCTTACAGCAAACAAATTACCTTATTATCCCTTCGCATCCAGTATACACATTTTAAAATTATAAATAACCCTACCTCTCCATGGAAGATGAGTATCTGAAAGAATGTGTCCATAAGGAGAATACGGTCAGGCTGTATACTGCTAGTGTCCAAAAGTACGGGCTCGGGTGGCCCATTGAAGCTGTAGCTGTATAGTATTGGTTGGATCATAGTGAGAGATTGCGCCACATCCTCTCTCATTAACATATGTCTGTAAAAAAACTTCAAATTAATTCCTTAAACAATGAAACCTACATGTAATGACTTACTTTGAAATGATACAATCTCTTTGATGTTATCGCAATATCAAAAGAGACCGTTCCACAATCGTGCCTTCTATAAACTATGCTTCAGACACTGTGCTGTTTAATTATTGAACAAAGTTGCTTAACCGTTACCAGATTTCTTTACAGCCAAGCAATTATTATTTTGAGAATCTACATGACAAATGAAATCAAATTATGTCAGTTCTAAATGTAGGTCTCCAGGATGAGAAACAGTCACATGACTTTGAAACCAATCACAATATTCCACGCACCTCCTAAAATCTAGAACACTAAACTGATAAACCATATTTCCCTTCCATAGCAAAGCCTCACAATGGAGAACTCTTCTACAAGACCACAAGTATTTGTTTATCCACAACTGTTTAAAGTTTCACTAAGAAAGAAAAGAAAATACTATGTATCTTCTGCCACTGAATGAGTGTTCCATTTCATCCGCGTCACATAGCATTGAGACATTCTGCACAAACTCTTCTGCTATGGATTTATTTATTAATAAACATGGAGAAGTGAAGTGAACAACTAATCTACTTGAACATTCTATGTTTTCCTTACCTGTAGTAGGATGTTTCATCAGGGCTATTATTGAAAACTTGGAGAAAATGTGACCGCCGTAGGTGATACATAAATTGTGGATAAAGAGTAAAGTTGTCTGGTAGGCGGAAGCTGTTTGGATCATCTTTTCCATATTCACCAAACTTCTGACACTATGGAAAACAAAATCAATTTATGAATTAAATTTATATATCATTTAAATACACACACACACATGCATATAATTGATTGTATTCCTGAAATTATATTACTCGCACAACTTTCCGCAACATTTTACTTACAAGTCTGATGAGCATGCGATCTACCCATCGTAACACATCTGGCCCGTCATCTGTCTCCGCTCTATACACAACCATCCTGGCCATTAACACAGCTGCAGCTTCTTGGTCGAATCCAGCACTTATATGATGTAAATTGGTTGAAGCATCTGCCCAACTTGAGAACAAAAGAGCTCACAACATACTGAATTGTACAGACAAGAAACACTTTCCCCCTATAGCGTAATGTTATTTATACCACCATTTTCACCTCAAATTCAGGTTTTGATCAATTCCCTACAGTACGACTGTACACAGTAGGTGAAGACTAGTGGGTAGTGATTTGACTGTACGATTTAAATAATCTGAGGAAAACAGTGTACTGCTCCGACAACATGATCAGTAGACACAGAAAATTTTAAGGAAACATATGAGTAACTTGCATAACCTTGTGTCCACAGTCAACATTATAGATTTTTAGTTATACCTGGCAGCATTACAAACCAACCAACAATTCTAGTCCACAAAAGAATTCGCCTTAGAAACTATGAAGAAAAGTTTGTAAATGAAATTAAGCATGTCCTTCGCAGTAAGACAAGAATCTCTACTATTCTGTACACAAAGCCAATATTTACACATACGAAGAGAAGAAGAGGAAGAATAAAATTTCCAGTTATGAGCAACATTAAAGTCGGACATTACTTACTTTCTAGCTATAGTTGTGACTCGTATGCGCCTCTGTCCACTGGAATGCTGATACTGTGTGATCATTTGGATACAGCCTCTACCACCTTGAGGTATCGGTGCAGGATGCTGAACATAAAAAAGTAATTATAAAGGCATGTTACAAGAAATCCTTTCACAATTTTCAGATTCACCTGAAGTACACTGTAACATTATTTGCTTGATGACAATCTTTCTGGTTACATGTTTCAACCTCAGTGGTTCATCTTCAGACTTTTTCTCTGAATACAATATTTAGGCCAATGATATTATATTCATTATTATGGGTGCTGTTCAGTTTTCTTGATCATATGTGGGAATTGACAATGAGACATAAAACATAAATTTAAAATATGAAAGTTACAAATAAACATTTGTAAGACTTAAAGTTCAAAAATTCATTTTTCATGTTCCTATTAACCGTACATTCTACTGTTGGCTTATACTTACTTCATAATACATTAAAAATGGTGCTGTTGTTTTTGTTGCTGGAGATGGGGTAAGTGTGTACACAATTTGTCATATATCTGATAACACACAACCATGTTTCAGGGTGTAGCATGTGTAATAGTGCCAATGGCAGTAGGTTTTCTGCACACACAAAACTTGAATGTGTTTTGATTTGTGTGCATGTTTTACCAAATAAACTTGTTTGGTTCTTATTTTCTTTTTGACTGTAAACATAATATAGAATGTATGTTTTATGACTGATATGCTCAAGTACTGAGTGTAAAGTCTGCATATAATTTTACCATCAGACTGTCAATAAACACCATCATTATTAATAAATAAATAAAATAAAAAAGGGTACCCAAAGATGACAGTTTCAAAAAGGCTATGATTTGGGGGTGGGGGGGGGGGGGGGGGGGGGAAGGGTTGAAATATGCATTACAGTTATTAATTTTACACTTATGATACTATTACATGATGATAAGATAATGATACACATGTTCCTTACTTTTTACACTTTTCCTTATATACAGACAGTAGTATGTGAACAATTTACAATCACAATTACCTGACTCACAACTTCAAAGAACAGTGCACATGTTGAATTTGGATTGAATGTACACAACTTCCACTGGCACGTACTTCCCATTCCTATTTCTGTGTCAGAAACACACGGTCCTTTCACATTAAGGGACACACATGAACCAATGGCTCCTGATACTGAAATTACAGAAAGAAATTAACTTAATATGTTGCTCTGACAAACTTCAAAATTTAGTTTCTTCTTAAATTCAACAATACAGTGGAAGTTTCTGATAACTACTGATCTCATAATAATAATTAAAACATTTTTATATATAATCCTTTGACAGGCGGATTTTAGTTCAGCATAATCATGGTTACATATTTTATTCAGGGTTATAATTATTCCAGAAATTCACTCATTGGGAGTCCCCCCCCAAACGTACCTTTCAACTCTCTTGAAGTCTTCACTTCTAGGGTCCCGTTGAAAGCCATTTTTAATTCTCCTTTCTGGTCCCTAGAAAATACTCTCTGAAAAGTCTGTTTAAATAGAGATGAGTCGAAGCAATCACCCATAACCATGTGGCCACTGAAAACATGAAATGACTACTAATGCAATGTTTTACACTAAAGTACATGATCAAAATGACATCATTACTTAGAAATATTTTGGTTAGGTTAAATAACCTGAAAGTTTCACAGCTACTAAGTGAAAGAATTACACACATTTATCTTATGAACAAAATTCACATTGTGAAAAGACGTTTTATGAACATAATCACTTATGAATGTAACAGAAGAAGAAAACAAGATAGTTCATAATCAACATTTTTTATTTAAAGATTTTAAACTTTCTAAATGAACTGTTAATATGATTGCATGTCAGCTTATGGCAGAACTATCTGAACATTACATACATTCAATTCCACAACCCCCACATTATTATTTGCTTGATAACACACTTTCTTTGTACATAACGCTTCTATCTGGCAGTGATTAAATGCTGCAACCACAGATATTAAAAAAATATGTAAACCGCATATACCAGCTACAAGGGTCAATATTACAACAGGAAAGTGTTTTGGAACTCACCCTGTAGAGTTACAACACTGCTTCATTTCTAACAGCCCTGTTTGGTCCAGAGCACATGAATAAATATCTACGGCGTGACCATTTGTGGCGGCACGCACGGCCAGGGCCTCATAATGTTTTGTGGCCTTCTTCATGTAGGTCGCATTATCTCTGTGGATGTCATGATGCGACCTGATTGGTTGACGAAGATCATCATTCACCACTTGACCAGGTCCTTGAGAGCAAGGCCCTCCTACAAATAGCATGATCCTTGCTCCTGTATTTGGGTATGTGCACTGCAGAGAACAAACAGTTATCAAAAGGAATGAACCAAGAGAGTTTCTTGCATGTCAATATCACATATATGCTACAAAATGTGTTTACAATCCAACTCACATGGTGCTGTATTACCTTTCTTGAAGTCTGAAGCCAATGTGCACCTCTGTGACCAATTTTACACTATGTATGAGTTTATTAAACTTTTAGAGCTGCTAATTAAATCACAACTGTATTTATATACCAACAGCTTACAACATATGATCTGGAAGAATTCTAATGGTTAAAGCAAATTTATTAATATTCTCTAAAATTATTTCAAAATAAGCTTCAAGTTAATTAAATTTCCATTTCTTAAACTAAAATTTTAATAGAATTAATTACCAAACGTACAATTATTTAGCGAACTGGAAGGAAATAAAAATGTTACTCAGAATCCACTATACACAGCACATAGCATTCTGTCCTGGCACTAGTAAACTGGTTCAAAGAAATTTGAAAGAAGCACACAAACAATACACAAATGTGATTAAATTTAATTATCACAAACGGTGTGTTAAAGTGTGATTCAAATGATTACAGCAAAACCCATGAGAATAACTATTATGCCACATAGAATTTCATCAAAGTGGAAGGCCAAAAAGTGTATCTCATCAAAATTAACCCAAAATAATATATTAATCGTGTCCACTTTTCTTGAAGTTCTAACAGAGTTTGAAGATTCATTCTATGTGCTAAGTGCTTAAAACCTTTCCAAACACAACCTCATACAATCTTTTATGCTTGTAAGAAACAAATGCACTAGAATAAATATCAGAAAGCTGCGAGAATCTAAAACATACACTTGAATAACCTTTAAAAACAGCATTCCTCAGCCATGCAATGAAAAATGTTGCTGGCTTGTTACACTAACTGTATACCAAAGGTATAAACAGAACCAGGTAGAATGTAAAAGGGGGGGGTGAAATATAATATTGTTAATATGCAATGAAATCTTTTCTAATTTAGAATTAGTCCTAAAACAACAGATTACTTAAGGCATTTCACAGGGCTCAATGGAGAGGGTATCAGCACAATGCAAGGCCTCTACCTACACAGAGGAAAATGGACATACATCCATACACTAAGCGATTCAAACTCGCAAACAAGCTGAAATCATTTAGGACCACATGTTCCAAAGATCACAAAGCTCATATAACTGAAACTGCATAAATTCACATATAAGAAACAAGACTGTTCATGTAGGTGTCCATCCAGTCTGTCACAACTACATTGGATAATGACCATTTTATAAGATTTTTTTTATATTCATGAACATAAGTTACACATTTCTGCCATGCTACAAAAAAGTATTTAACACAAATCTAAAAGAATTTTAAGTAGTTACAGCAACATTCCTGGGATGCACTAGATATCCAGTAAAAGCCTTGGGCGCTGGGTTTATATCTCAACCATTGCCACTACAACTTAAATGAAAATAAACAAACATACGAGTATAATAACCTCAAAACTCACAAAACATCAAATATTCCCCAGACAATGGACAATGTCCAACATTCCTGTAATGCACAGAATCAGCTGTTGCCACAAATATTTAGATAATCACAACCATTGCAAGACATAATAAACTCAAATGTCTTGACATTCTTTGACGAGTCATATCATTACAAAAAAAAAAGCAGTCTGACAAAAGAAAACAATGATTTACCATGATAGTAGTGATTTTAGAAACAGGAGCCAAACCAAGAGAAACCTACAAAGAATAAATTGAAGAGAAGAAAATATTTAAATACAATCAAAAGAAAAATGTGCCAATATAAACACCTCATAACTAGACCAACTCAACGTAATTAATATTACTTGCCTCCAGTAATCCAACAGCAATGGACAAAGCAACGCCTGTAGATCGGAGCGACCGTTTACCTTGGGCCACTGGCCAAGGATCACGCTGCAGTTCTCCAAGTAAATCAGTAAGGCTCATGTCACATTTGTGCACTGGCTGCAGAAACCTGAGAGTAACAAATACAAAAGACAATTTGCTTACATCGTCAGTTTTCACGTGCCACGATTAATTACGTTTGTCTTCACTTGAATCAAATCTATATGATATACGCCATTCCTTGCTTGTACATACGTGGCTACATAACATGGTAAGCATATATAATGTGCACAATATACCTGTTAGCTGGTGGTAACACCTGTCCTCCAGGACCTCGAGGTTGCTGCTGCTGAGGTGCGCTGAATTTCCCGATTCCTAGCATATCTTGAATCTGCTTTGCTGTGTAATCTTTAGTGCCCCTAAAAGCATAGCTTTTTGAAATTCCTTCGCAGCCCAGCTCATGCACCTGTATGATTTTTCCAAATGTGACGAGACCAATAAGAGCATCAGGAGGAAGTAAACTAAGAGACATTTGCAGAGAATCTTTCAGTGCACTTAATTCTTCATCATCAATACATGTGTCCACCACTAGGAGGAAAATGGGTGGTAAACATTGTGCACGCTGAAAAATTGAAAATTAACATTAATCAAAACAGGTAATTTAAAAAATAAATAACAACAGCATTATCATTAGCATCACTGTTTGAGCCATCAGACCAGACGATGACAGCATTTGACAAAGGATTTTAACTTGCATTATGATACTGAATATTTGTAGTCTGTAGGAATTATGGGGCATATTTTAAGCACAATCACATTTGCCTGGAGCAAACTTAAAAAAATAAAATAAAACTCCTCAGAGCAGTGAAGATTTGAGACCATCACAATGATTACTCACAAACTTTTTATCTGAACCAGATCACTCTTGGTTCAACCTTTATGTAACCAAATACACGTGGCTTTAGCAACACTATTCAACTATATTCCATGAAAGAAGAAGCACTCACAGTTATGATATATTCAATGGTAGAAAACATTGGAATGACTTCTGCTGGTTGATGTTGTTCTGATATTGCGGCATACTGTGGTGGAAACTGAAATACGACAATACCTCAAATTATCTAATATCCTTACTCAATAAAAACTGCTATTTACATGTGAATTTTCTGGAAATATTCAGATTTCATGTCACCTAGAGGTTCATTAATAATTCAGTCACACTGAAAACTCAATGATACTGATATTTTGGGATAAGCGTGCCTGCACATATAGAAAACCCTTTTTTACTGTTCTTCAGAAGAATATTACTTCCTTCCTTACTGAACATGGTCAACTGAATAACAACTAAGTGAACATTTGAATATCATAGAATAAGTGTACAATGACTTTATTTTAATGACACAAAACTCATTAAATAATAAATCAGTGTATACTCACAGGATTCCTTTGTAAGCAAAAATTGCACACCCAGAGTTTAGCACGATAGTCCACCTGACACAAAGGGTTGAGAATTGCTCTACATGTGTTCCGGCTGCATAACACTGGGTCATATTGAATTGGAGGTAAATCTGAAATATAGTTACACCATCACTTCAATGACCGAAGTTACATGTCACATTTCTTAGGTTATGTACTTTTTTGTATAAAAACATGTGACGCGAGGATGAGTTCAGTTAGGTCCTTAGATCAACTGCCTTTTGCTTCTACAGTTTAATGTAATCTTTATTATTATGTAAATGTAATTTTAAAATAAACTTGTTAGCAGGATGTAATTCTGTAGGTAATTTCCTATCTGCATGTCAGTAGCATTTCATGTTTGGAGACAGGAAGGGTGACATTCGAACAAAATATGGCACTGGGAAGATAGGTTAAGAGAATAGGGAGAGGTTACAGGATAAACAGGGCAGGCCATAGCATGCAGCTTCTAAAACTTTTCTAATGGTATTTGATCAAAACAATGTGTCTTGAAAATATTTTTGCTCCTATAAAAAGGGGGGAGGGTGAGATAGTATTGTAGTTCTTCCTTTTTCCTTTGTAAATGAAAAAAATATTATTGTATGCAAGATGACCACAAAGCCTTGTATTTAAATAGATCTTCACGTAGTGAACACCATCTTACCTCAAATTTGAGGTTATAGTGGTGATGTTCTTACCTGGTCTCTCCTTTAATGGCTGATACAAACAGCCAAGAGGCACAACTAAACGTGTTGTCTCTATTCGGCTCGATGGCCAAACATTCCATGTGAATCTCACCCCATCGCGTTCTTCATTCTGCTGGATGAATTCCTCGTATGTTGTCATCCTTGATAATAAAACACAAAATAAACCTGAATAAAATGCCCTTGATGCTTGGAATAACAAAGGGGATTTTAAAAAACTGTAAGCGAATAAGATCTGAGAAACAAAAACCAACATCATTCTTCTTTATACTTGACATCAAGTGTGGCTTAAAGAGGAGAGTCGCAGTACAACACAAACAGAATGTTAGGTTAGAATCAAGTACGAGCACATAAATTACATTGTTTTATTCAAAATAGAATGGATAGTCTCAGTTCAGATCATGCAACATACAAAATCAGACCAAATTTTAACGTACAAAAGTAAAACCAATTCCAAATTGTTTTGAAATTATTTGTGGCAAAAAAATTGCGTATTTAGTAGATTAATGTAAAAAGGATTAACTTGGTAGAACCAAGTTATACGGAATATATATTGGCAGAGTCCTTTTCTTACCTGTATGCTTATATGCCAAGTTACACCACATCCACAATCATCCTTCTACCAGACCTCCCCGTCAGCAACGGTCCACGTCATTCACTTTAAACAGATGAACAAGACTATCCGGACCTCCACGTCATTCGTTTCAAACAGATGAACACTATCGATACTTATATCAATGTAAAAACGCAATGACATTCATACGATTTAAATTTTACGTTTGTTTATCTCTTTTTTTTTATTAATTTATTTCTTACTTTACTCACATTTAAGAATGACAGAATTGCAATGTGAAAGGTTGAAAATAATCCCCCTCCTTGACTCTTGTAGGATGGGTCCAAGATATCAACAAGAAACAAAAATCAGACACTTGTGAATTAAACAAAAATTGAGTGTTGACACCAAATATTTCGGCAAAGAAGTCACTGGAATGACCACTATCATAATTCAAAACCAGAGCTGAATTGGAGTTTCAACTGACCTGGTTTCAATGAAATTTTTTTCATCACCTTAACTAAACCATGTGGTTACTCCCTATCATTGTTACTTCTCTCTTCATCCAATCACGCCTTTACCTCCAACACATCACTCGCTCCCTAATCTAGAAAGAGTTTCTGAATCCTTCCCAAAGATAGCAAGTGCAGTTTGCTGAATCACTGGATTATCTTCAACATTCTACTCAACTTATCCCAAAAAGCCAATGTTACATATTAAATACCAGATGGGAAACTGTAGGGACAAGAATTCTTACCGAGACCATTCATTTTTACTGGAACATAAGTCATCACAGCCCTGCCATGTAACACCATACAGCAGTCACAATTTTAAATGACCAAAAGGCAATCATGGCAAAAAATGTGTTCTTTAGGTTACTTACAATATGAATTCCTTTAAATATCCCACACTTCAATCGGTATGTCTGTATTATCATTTAGACCATCAGTCTGTTTCTTGGGGCATTACAATTTAAATAATTAGCTCAATATCATCATTTGTCTTTAATTAGATAAAAGATATCATGAAAATGGTTTGAATAAATGACAATACAAATGATTTGACTGCACTCTATGAAAATTTCTGTCGCCATCATCATCATCACCTTGATGATGGAAGCAGTAAGTGCGCATCAGTGAACGTCTACCAGATGAAATGGTGCAACATCCCAGATGCCAATCATCTTCATATTTACTGCTGTGAGAATCTGAAATCTCAGCTGCACTTCATGACTGTTACCTGTAAAGAAGGTGCTACCAGAAATAACTACTCAAATGATTTACACAAATAGTCTGAATCAAGTCTCTCAGCACACATGTAAACCAAAGAAAATTCCTCTTAAACCCTTATGGCAATTATCAAGAACATTTGTGCGGACTTACTACAGCAAAACAATGTAACTACTATACAAGTATTCCTGAAACACATTTTATTTACAACTCATGAAAACACATAACAAAAATCTTGACCCTCCTGGTTAGTTTAAAATATGCTGGCCAGCTGGAATGGCAAGAGAGATTCCATATATTCAAATAAGTATTTAACCATTTAATATATTTGTAACAGATGTAAACTGAAAACACATTTACATATACAGAGTAATGAAAGACACAAAAAGAATAAACAATAAATGGAATGTTAAATAGAATATGAGTAATAACTGCTTAATCCAAGCATGTCAACCATAACTGGCACATCTGACCCACCTTCTTTATGCAGAAGAAATCTGCCAACTACTTGCAGAACACTAAATACATTCAACAGCAAGTATACTAATATTTCCTTACTTGACATACCATACATCAAAACTCTGCACAACGAACTCCATAATTCTTCTAAACTACAAACATACATACTTCTTAAGCTTAACTAATACAGTAACATCTGCAATACATATTCCACTCATGAAACTGATGACTTGTTAAAATGTCGGCTTCCTTTCAAATTCAAATTCCTTCGTAAATTTGTTATGGTAATTACAGACAAGGTACAATTCACTTATACAGACTGCCTTTACTTAAAGTATGTAGAGACAACTTATTATAATTCTAAATGAAACTGTATATAACTCATTTTTATACAGGAAATAAAACTCTATAATGGTGGATTCTGGACTTTTGATGCAGTCACACAATCCAGAAGACCACAAAACATATTACACTGCTGTGAAAACCCCACATTTAAAAATTGTAGACATCAATTATTCTATAACTTGTATGTAGAATGTAGGAATGTCCATGCATGCGTGTGTGTGTTAATTTGCACATTTGTATTATATATGAGATTTCTTCAAATGGCAATCTCAGGTCAGTAACTCGTTGACTAATAGTGTGAACCATTCATTCACTAATCACTAACTTTCATTCTGCTTCTCCTTCACCCCCATCCTGTTCAAACTTGTCCAGAGGGTTTGGCTGGGAATTTGAGACTTTCCTATCATCTATTCCGGATACAGAATCAACTTCTTCTTCGAATTTGCTTACAAATGCTGCATCTACTGCCTTTATCTGATTTAAAAGATGTTCCCGTTCAAATGATCCCCAAGTTTCCGACCATTCTCGAAACAACTTAATGCGACACTGGAACAAGCTAGGAGGCCGATCGTCTCTGCAGCCCAGTCCTTCAACTCCAGATACTAAACCGTTTACGTAACTTGAAGGAACAAACTGTTGGGCCAACACAGGTAAAAAGTCTCCCCGCTGCATTTCGCTCCATTCATTAAACCATTCCACAACATACTGTACTTGCGCTTGTACAGGGGGCCTGTATCCTGCGTTGGAACTCATTTTCTGTATACTTACATTAACCCTTCACTTTAACTTTGTGAAGAAATCAAATGCATTTGCTTGTCACTATTTGGACTCTCAGCAAGATCAAAATTAACGTATTTCCACACATTTATGTTCACAATATTAATAAAAACCGTATTCATTCAGAAAACGGTTTCTTCTACACGAATGTGATTGTGGCGCAAAACATCCTTCAATTTTCTTCTCGTAAAGTTTCATTGACCACCACAGATGAAGAAAGACCACAGCGTGGTGTTGGCAATACTGCAAAAATAAGGCACATCAAATTGTTGCTGAAGCTAATTTCCCCCAAACTTGTGTAAACGTATGATCACCCGCAGAAAAGGGAGAATTGGGGGCTGCAGGAGGTAGGGGAGATCAAACAGTTTTCACGCCTATTACTTGCAACAGTATTTTCAATTAAATTCATTATTTATTTACGTAATGACTTAATTACCAAAGGCTACTTAAAATAAAAAACCGCCGTTCTTTTTCCAAACCCTTACCATCATAAACCCCAAAATCTCAAAATGGTTCGGTTGGCAGACTCCATTGTGTGGTATTCTAAAAACATGTTTTAAAGGCTGGATGTGTTCATCTGCAGGTGTAATGAACGGGGACACCTATTTTGTTGGGTCCATTTGAAAGAGCTAACCCCAATCACTGGATATTTTGTTTTTAGAATACCAAATGATGGACAATGTCCAAAAACTCTGTAATCCAGATTGTAAAACACCTAATTATATTATATGGGCATAATATATCATTTTCCAAAGAATCAAAGTTCTCAAAAAAAGAAAAAACTATGGACAAAACTTGGATTATAATACCTGCTAAATAATTCAAAATCAATGAATATTTAAAAGATACATTCCATTAAATTGAATGAGCTCTATTGCAGTTTAATTTTCTTTGAAAAAACACTTTCATCTTCACCTTCATTGCTTTCCTCATTGTCTTCATCACCTTTACTGTCTGAAATACAGAAGATCAAAGATTACTCCAACAAAATTAAAAAAAAAACATGATCTTTTCATTACTAATCCCATGAAACTATTTGTACTTTCTATTTGTATTTTCCCAGTTAAGACTTCAATTGCACAATGCATTCAGGTTTAAGGGTTCCCTTGTATGCTGCATATTATGAAAATAAGTGAATAACCAATGCACAGGAGCTTAACAGACCAGTGGAGTCTGATTTTTACAACTACTGCCACGACTTTAAAGTCTTCTTTCTTATGTAAGATTTGAGGTTTTCACAGCGGTGAGTATGAAAATTTCTGTCTTATGTCCCCAGCCCCAACCACGGGAGTTGAAGGAGAGAATGTCTAACTACCACTTTGAGAGTACAGCAACTATTCAGAAATCTAGCTGCATCGGTCAGAATGTCCACTCCCTCATAGTCATTACAAACTATTAATGATAATTTAAAGGTAATGCTTGTGAGATATGCATTACTACCACTACTACTATAATAACTATAGCATGACAGTGTTTCTCAATCATGCTTTTCATGTATGGCATACACCAAGATGAGAACATATACCTGTAATCTTCAGTTTAGTCTTCATTTTACTCTGCTCTCCTTCAACATCTAGTTTTTTAATATGGGAAGAAGAAACCCCCCCACACACAGAAAAGTGGCAAATTTCTTTTCAAGAATAAAAACATTTCAGACTCCGATGAGAGAGACAGAGAACTAGCACTGTAATTTGCTGTTTTATCAAACCATACGTCTAGAGTACCACAAATCTTGTAAACCAAGAAACCACTATGAGACCCTGTGCAATCCTACAAGCAAGCTAACGAAGCTCAAGTGATATCATATGGTGAAGGAGTTTGAATGATGCACACGGCATATGAGCTGGAAAAAAATTATTTTATCTCTTGCTTACCTTCTTCAACACCAATACTTTCAAGTTTGCTAATGCCCTGAGAAGTCTGTTCATGCACAAGTTTAGTCAAAAATTCATTGGTTTCCTGTTGGACTATTCTAAGCGAGTCAATAATATATTTCAGACTTAGATCCCCAAACGCTTTTTCACATGTTGATTCGTTAAGTAACGTCCCCTGACTGTCAAAAATTGTAACTTTTGGACCACCATAACCTCCTTCAGCCATGTCAAACAGAACAGAATGTGAATTTGGTGTTTGAACATTGGCAGCAATTCAATATGACGGGAATTGGGTCGTTGAAGAGCAATGTGGAATCAATCGAAATAATATATCTCATTAGGTTTATTTTGAAAATCAAGCCCGTAATAATATGTTCCAACATAGAGGCGTGTGAATGAAATAAAGTGATACGTTATATATTTTATGTTTTTTATTCACATTAAAAACTGACGTACTGGTATTGTATATGTTGGTATTATCTGTGATTGGTATGCCAACATGGTGCTTTTGGAGAATGAGAGCGTATGTATGGTAACATATTTATTTAATCATTGTCTATATTACGGATTTATTTTCATCCACAAAGTGACTGTTTACATATTTCTTATCTTTTCTTACAGTTTTTAACCGAACTGACTTGGATGTTTCGGAAAGCACGAAATAGTGGATCTGTTACTGTAACTATGAAAAGGTGTAAGTTTGCACATAAAAGGGCAGGTTGTACTTGATGCAGTCTAGTTCAGCGATATAATTAAAATAGTGTTTCTTATATGTTGTTGTTAGATGATGGTCGAACGAAACCTACACCCCGAGACGGGAAGAAACCATTTCCTGAGCCATCTGAATACATGTGCTTAATGAGAGCTACATTAAGGAATAAGAAAATTAGCACTGTTGTAAGTTGGATGAATAGAGGAATTATGCATATGTTGCTGTTGTCACTGCATTTTCTACACATTGTCAAAAATAAGATCATCCTTACCACCATGAGAACCTAAAATCTCCATTATTATTTTGGTTGATAGCTTTGTACTGCCTCACACCAAAGGCTAACCAGGGAAGTAAGTCGTGGATGTCAACTAGATTCAAGTGATTTAGTATTGAACCTTTGGTTTTCGTTACCAGTGAGTCCTGTTTTAATCCTGTAAACTGCCATAAAGGCACTTATGATTGATACAAATGTTTTGCATTCATGATTACTTCCGCATACATTGTTATGCCCTTCAACTCTGTCTTGTGTACCAGTAGTCATGCCAGATTTTCCTTCATTTATTATTTGGTGTCCTTTACAGGTACATCCTAAGGAAGTAAACAAATTTCAGCAGGCATACTGCAATTTGCTCAAAGGAAATTTGGATGGTTTGAAGAAACTGAAGAAAACTAAAACAAAGGCAAAGGCAACACAGTGATTTGTTATGCAAATCTTTGACTTTTTTCTCCATGTACGGCTTATGATATTTTTCAGTTTACTCTATCCACTTTCCAGAACAGACAAACTAGTTATGCCAGTTTTTGGAAGTGCATATAAAACAAGTTTCACACATTCACATTCCGTATAGTGGTTTGTGAAGACAGAACGGACATTTATAGTTATATGCACCTGTTGCATCAGTCTGAGATGTTTAGAACAAAATGTGGTTAATAACTTATATAATATAAATTCATTTGCTTGAGACAAGAAATTTGTTTTATTTTTACATTTCACATTTGATATTGTTTTGGGATCTGAATTTTTCTTTTGTTTGGTTTTATTTGTCAAATGTTTGACATGAAATTTATACAAACTTAAGTAAAACTTATTTGGAATGTGTATTATGAAACGGGTTAAATCAAGAGTTGCATTAAAATGTTTTCCTTGAATATCATTTGCATTTATTACTCCTTCACCTTCAAAATATGCTCTTGATGTTCAAAATAAATGTATGTAGACTAATGTATAAAAGGAGTAAAATGAACACTGAATGAAAAGCTGTACTGGAAGTATCCATTCTGGAGTGGTCAAATCTCAACAGAGTAGCAAGCTACTTGTCATGATTGACAGACAGTCCAAAATATGGACAAGTTTTATGCCAGATTCTGTATCTAGACATACATTTGTACAGGGAAGGATTTTTCTCTTCATCACAATGTCCAGACTGGATCTGAGGCCCATCCAACTTCCAATCCACTGGATACCAGGGTTCTATTATCAAGTGTAAAGCAGCTGTGGCATGAAGTTCACCGTTCACCTATTGTCAAGGTTAAGAATGCATTGAGCTATACCTCCACCTCCCCTCATGTCTACATGATGATATGGTGCTTATTTAAGCACCAACAACTTTACATTAACAATTTCTTCCCTGTAGCAATTAGAGCCAGTGCAATGATTTTCTGCATGCAGCTGCTATCTATTTTCATGAATAGCAAAATTTGTTCCATCCTCACATTTACTTTTTTTTCTGCATACCCATAATAAATTCAGCTTCTAAAAATATTTTGCATGTTCAATGATGGAAGTTCCTTACATACTGTGGAACATCCATTACTTGAAACTGAAAATGTGGCGAAAACCGATATCTTCTCATGGTAAATCTTTGCTTCAAAATGGCTGTAATAGTATATATTTATTTATATACAGACATTTCTACAGCAAGCATAGTTGTAGGTACTGTTATCAGAAATACTAGGTATGTATGCATGTAACTCTGAAGGAGATCAAAATATTGAGAACTTTGGTTTGGGTTTTTGACACGATACAATGGGAATTTCATTACAGCACATTTACCTTTCAAAATCCTGGATCCCATTTAGTCTCTTGTTGTTCCTTTCTTATCTCATAACAGACTAATGTATCTCCAGCTCTGAAATTGATGGTACCATCTGCCAGCCGGAGACCACATTCAACATCCTTCTTGATGCTGTCTACTTCATTTTTAAGGTGGCGCATGGAAGCCAACAGTCCTAATGTAAGAGTAATATATTACAGTTCATACAATCTATTGCATATTATGGAGAAAATTCCAAAAGCCTATGAAATGACATTCAAAAGGTCTTTTAACCTTTAATGTACAGAATACAAACCCAACTGTAGAGAGAGAAACATTATCCTGTGTGGTAGCTAAATGGTTCAGGTGAAAAATGTATACTGGATTACAGAAAGAGGAAACACCAGAGTAAAATTTCTGAAGGTACACCACATATTTTGTTCACTCTGAAACTTTCCCTGAAATAACCAGTTAGCCAATACACAGTTTGATGTATGTCAGTGCAACAGATCAGAAACAGGCAACTTGATATTCTCTATTTAAAAAAAACAGCAGCTGGGAAGTGCAGATTTAAAAATTAGCAAATGCTCTATAAAGGCTATGATATTTATGTTAGGATATCTAGGGGATGGATCATATACATTCATACAAAGAAACTTGGTGATAATTAAGTGAAACAAGATGTTTATTTTTTAAATTGTAGAAACCAAATGACAGGTGCATCTCAGCTATAGAACCCTGCTGCTAGAAAAGTGAATAGAGTAAGCAGAATACTAACCATCATATACAGTTTCCTGTCCTCTCTGTAGTCGGTATCTTCCCGTTTTCTTAAGAATTCCTTTTGTACATCTGCAACCAGCGACATGCACTTTCCTTTTTCCTTCTGTGACTTCAAAATCTTGAAGGACATTTGCTTCACCTGAGGATCATCAATACAGAACTGACATGAAATAGATCTGAACATATACAATTTTTTGCTGTGCATCCTAAAAAGGAAGAAATATAGCAATCGAGTCAGATTACAGCAATTTGATTGAGAAACATAACAGAGTAGAATCCCTATTTCATGTTTATGTAGGGATAAGCTTTTTAAGTGCATTCACAACACTGTGGAGTGCCTTTAAAGTCACTCCATCCATCTGTACACATGTTAATGACGAGAAAAACAGCTGAACAGATGCAAAGATGAGGAAGAGGATATTATTTCAGAGTTGTGTTAGTATAATGGAGATGATAAGATTCGCTTTGGATTGGACTAAACACTACAACTTCATGTGAAGTGAAATTACATGCTGAACTTAAAACATGCAGTCATCCATTGCAATCAATGTAACTGTTACATAAGTTCTAATATAATAAGTTAATAAGTTCTAATATAATAAACTTAAAACTTACCCAGTTCTTCCTCCACATCCATGAGTGGTAACTGAGAATTGATTTCTTTCTTGAGATCATCTACCATTTTATAAATTATATTGTGTGAACGGATTGATATTTTATTTGACTTTGCCAGTTCTGTGATTTTATCTGGAGTATTAACATTGAAACAGTAAATTATTGCTGAAAAAAACAAAACAAAAAATTACTATAAAAATGGAAACATTAGCATATGGCACAGCACAACTTTTATGAACAATATTTTACAATTGTACTGGGCAGTGTTTACATTTTAAGATATTCCTCTTTACTACATACTTTTACATTTTAAACCTAAGAATCAAAATTGCTTATCCCTCTGCAAAATCACATCTTGAAAATCAAGGTGTAACAGAACCGTTATTTCCACAATAAACAAACTGTTATACTAACCTTTAAATGCAGTTGCTAATTCCACATCTGTCTCTGAAACATTACCAACCCCATAATGTACTACATCCAATTTGCAAACACTGTCACCATCGTATGTTTCTAAGACATCAAGAATTGCTTCAACAGATCCATCAACATCCCCTGAAAATAAAAGCCTTGCTTACATGGCGAAGTGTAAACAATTTATTGTACTGCAAATGTTAAATCTGATGATCTGTTCTCCTCTCATGAATTATAGTGAATGCAGACAGAGTGAATGTACAGTCACAAAGCTCTAATGTTTTCCTGGGAGACAAGAATTTTAAGTGCATTCACAGTCCAACAAGAATTCACATATCTCTAGATATACCTTTTACAATAACACTGACTCTTGGTCCTATGTCATCTTTAATTTCTTTTTCTCGAGGCCCAGTTGGCCGCAGTTTGTACCTTCCTAATCTTCTTCTTGTTTCCAACTGTGTTTTGTATACCTATAAAAAAATCATCACAATTAGGATAACGAATTTTCAGAATAAAAAATGCATAATGTTAACACAAATCTAAGACAATTATTCTGTATGATATATTTGTATAAAGGAGAATAAGTACAAGTTAAGAAATGTGAATGAGTTTCACTGAACCTTGCATATGAATGTGATTCATAACAAACACAAAATATTCCTGAATGACTTCATATCCTATGTACTGTGACACAATTTGCTTGTAGCACTAAAGATAGTTCAACTCTGAGGCTATACTACACACAGGGAATGGTGGAGGGGCCCGGATTTAGTGTTTTCATAGTTCCGACATTGTTGATTTCATAGAATTTTTCAAATATGCACACCCAGACAAATGGGTGCTGCTAGGAAACAACGGAAAACACTGCATATTCTTATAATTATTTAATGTTTAGTACATTAATATTTCACTGTATAACACTGCAGTTTTCTACATGTAATACTATAATACCTTCAAATGTTCTTCAATTTTACATTCAACTGCTTCCCTCTCAGCTTCTTGTTTTTCAGTCAGTTTCACTGACTGCCTCCATTTCATCACTTCATGGGCACGTTTCTAATGAACACAAATAAAAAAATGTTATTAACCAGACAAACATGAACATGGCATATTAGATACACTACATAAAGTGTTTGTGTTACTACAACTTTAAAAATAAAAATAATGTAATATTAAGCGTTTCTTACTAATGTTACACACTCTCTGCTTCAAGGGACAATTTCTTAAAATAGCTCTTTATCTGTAGCTCTTTAACATATAAATTACCTCTTACCTAATTTTCATATACTGGTAAATGAGAAGAAAATTGGTACATCAGTATCTAATAAATAACCACAAACTAGGTGTCAATAATACAAGCCAATGGACATATTAATAAAGGTTCCTGACCTGGCTGTACAAGAATTATAAAAATTAAAGCTAAAAAACTTGAAAAAAGTAGCATCCTACCTCAGATTCAACTTCAATGATTTCATCTCCTGCTGACGGAAGTTCCCTCCAGCCTAACACCTCAACTGGTGTGGATGGTGGTGCCTGCTGGATGGGTTGGCCCCGATCATTAAACATTGCACGTACTTTAGCCCAAGCCAGTCCAGCTACAAGAACAGTTCCCTTCTGTAGCATACCTCTCTGAACAATAGCCGTAGAAAGTTTCCTGCACAAAGATTCCGAAATACTGAAATATTTCTCCCGCAAAGCATACCTGTTTCTCCAAACTAAAATTTAAGTAATCATGATTCAATATTAGAAACATTCTTTAGAAATAAACAGGATTCATTAGCACATATTTTTGACATGTGATGACAAAATTTGACATGAGTTTTGAAGATGGAAATTACTCTGAGATCATCTTCTGTACATGGATAGAACAGAACATTAAATTCAGGAATCCTATAAGAACAATTCTGTCTTGTTATCATGAGAGAAACATTATATCAGAAATTGTAAGATGGAAATTGACGTACATTATTTATAAAGTTGATGTTGTGAATACAAAGGAAGAGTGATAACAACTCAGCCATGATGTTCAATGAACCGTCTTTTAAGAATGCCAAATTCCATTAGGTCAAAACAAATTATGATAACAGACCAGTTAGGAGGACAGACATCAGACACCTTCAAAAGTGATGGAAACACCAACTTAAGGCCAAACAAACCAAATGGCTTAATCTGATGATAATAACAGTAAGAACACAGAAAAATTGCTTGTTACTTGATATCCATTACTACATCTGAACCATAACCACGTACAACATCCATACCCTCTATGTAGATCTGTCCTGGACTCAACAACAACTCCTTCTACCCTGCCCCTTGGATCACCCTTGAGGTTCATCAATTCTGCTTGCAGCACGATTGCCTCTGTCAGTGTATCAAGGTTAGTTCCATTAAGAGCTGATATTGGAATTGCTTGAACATCACCTCCTCTATCTTCCACTTGGATACCGTGTGGCAACAGCATATCTTTTGTATGCTCCTGAAATAATATATTATTCAAAATCTAACACTGTAGTCCAAAATATTTCCAGGAGAGGCATGGGTGTGGTTTGTAATCACAGCAGTTCAATGAATGGGTGGACCCAGATCATGACCTAAGAGTTAGTACAGCCTTGACAGAGATCGCCTGATCTGTCACCCAATGGAGGGTGATGAGGAAAATGTTAATGAACCTGGGTTGATCCCAGTAAGCAAACAGAAAACTTGTGAAGGTATCATCCTGGGGAAAGCATCAGAAGATGGTGCAAATGATTGTGACTTTGTGACTACAGACTGCTGTACATTATTCAAGACACCCTTAACAGACTCTGTAGGAACAGTAGAAAAATAAATGACTACTTTAAATAACCCTTTCACAAAGTTAACAGTAAAATCAAAATACAATTTACAAAAATGATAACAATAACCAATGCCTACTGTGTGTGTACATATAAAGTGACTTATGAATATTTAAGATAAATCATTAAACGTTCTCACAATCAGAGACTAAAAGAACGACATAAGTAATATATATCTCATAAGTAGTTTTTCGATTTTGTACTTACACTTTCATCTCATAAATGCCATCACTACAGTGCTACTAGTTACCTGTCACAACAATCATAATAAATGCAACATTTCACGGTTTCAATTATTCTTCACAAAAATATATGTACAGTGTTGTTCATAAGTAGTTGCAGCTGAGGACATACAAATTGCATTTAGTGAGGCAGCAGAGGATGCTCAGTAAAAAAATACTTTTCACATTAACCTAACCCAAAGATGAGGTTCCTGTCACTCTTATTTTAATTTTAAAAATCTTATATTTGTGACTAGAAATAATATCTATAAATATGTGATTCAGTAATTTATGGGGAAACAGTCTCTGCCAGCAGCGGATAAGAAAGAAGTATAATGGTACCCCCTTCACTTAAGTAAACTTTTATTAGATTGCATGACTATAGCAATAATAATTCTTATTAGCTAGTTTTAATAAAAACAGAAGGACTGTTTACCTACAATGTCTGCTTCTTGCTTGTCGATCTTGTTTATAGCAATAATGATAGGAACTGAAAAAAAATACAACAAATTATTCTCTCAAAATTTGCATCTGAAGTATTAGCATACAGGAAGAATAATAAAGCAAGTTTCATCACTGCTTGCGTGTTACAATAGCATACAACTAAACTGTTAACTCTGGAATTAAGACCAGCCAGCAGTCCAGAAGTATGGTCGTTTAAATCCACTACTCGCATAAAATAATGGTTAACAGACTGTCGTCCTTGTTTATACAACAGAAAAAGCTTCTATAAAATACTGTGGACGTACCTGCTTCCGCCTTTGCCATCCTGATAGACTCCACAGTTTGTTCCATGACTCCATCGTCAGCAGCTACAACCAGTACGACCAAGTCAGTGACCTTTGCCCCACGAGCTCTCATAGCAGTGAAAGCTGCATGACCAGGTGTATCTAAGAAGGTGACCGTTTCCCCACTTTGTAGTTTCACTGTGAAACAAACACAATTCATGACCCTTACGAAACCAGTAACAAAGAAATAAACAAGCTAGGGTCGAAGTTTGAAGGCTTCTAGTGAGGGGGTTGCTAGATCCTCCATCGGGTGCCTCCCCAGGTGGCAGATCGGGGAAAGCCTCCCAGATATTGGTGGTACTGAGGAAATCAAATACTCGGGGTGGACCAAAATCTAGCACTGGTGGAGGGCAGCAGTTTCACCAGAATCAAACTGCGGTATGGGAAGAATGACTCTGAAGCGGCGTAGTATTGAGTATCGGAAAGCACAGCTGTAACAGCCCAAACGGTTTCCGCACTGCGGTACAGAAAGGAAACGGAATTTCTATTGTACTATTTTTTCTAAATTATCTTAATGGCTGACGAAACTACGCTGGCCATTTGGATCGCCAACCTTTGCAAGAAGACGGCGTAATAATAATAAGAAGAAGAAGTGATGGCACATTATAAAGTGTAAAACTATTCTTTTGGACTTTGTCCATCATCTAAGTAATAAAATCACAGCATTTTGGAAGCTGGATTCTAATTGTGTCATCAGGACAAGAAAGGCTGGTAGAATTCTGGCTTCAAAATTGAAAGCCAGCAAAAAGTGAAGAAAATAAAAATTTAATTTCAGCGACTGTTCCCAGACAAGAGCCATATGTCAAATTTACCTGAAAACGCTCCAATATGCTGTGTGATTCCTCCAAATTCACTTTTAACAACTGACGTATTTCGAAGAGAGTCTAAAAGGGTTGTTTTCCCATGGTCCACATGCCCCATGACAGTTACTACTGGGGGGCGTTTCACAAGAACTGATGGATCAGGTGGTGGCCTGCAACCACAGTACACAAAATAATACATGTAATGCAGTGTTCCTATCTTTTTTGTTGAAACACTGAGCTCAAAGCTTCACAAGGAATATACAGAGTGAAGAAGTTCTGCCAATTCTTACCAAATACAAATTTGCAAGATGAGGTGTAAATGCAAACTGTATTATCCCATCTGGCCATTGTGTGTTTATGCATGGGAAAACCTGCTTATATACAGTTTGTCTATACTAGCACAAAACTATCTGGTTGAGAAATGTCATACCAGCTAACAGTATGAAGTGCAAATTCACTTTTACTTCTCCAGTAACTCGATCCTCTGTAGCTTCTTCTACCCCTTAAAACTTTCAGAGCAGAAAATTAAATTGCACATTGTTACTTGTAATAACAATTTTCCAGACAAAAACTAAAGTAAACTACTTCTGTTACAAAATTAAATAAGTAAATTCTCTTATCCAATCTACCTGAACCCTAATTTTCAAAATGTTTCTGAAGTTTGCTGAATGTGGTGTGCTCAAGGAACCTGACATCTACATTTGGAAACAATTAGTGGAAGTTTTAAAATAACAAGCGAATGTCAAAATTGATTTTACAAACCACTTTGTTGCATCTTTATTTATCCGTTCAGGATCACTCAGGTCTGGAGGAGACACTGTCCGAGCTCTCATGCCAGACTTCTTCACAATCTCTTGAATAACTTGCAGACTGTCAATAACAGAAGTTGACTTGTCATAATCCACAGTATTGTCCACATACATCATAACCTCAAATACATGATCTGCAAAAGAAAGTGAATAAGAGCTATAAGAACTAAAGATAATGTGAACAATTTCACATTTTAGTCGCAAATGGAATCTACTCCTAATACACTAGCCAGTGCCTGGTACACTTGATTGGATGAGTGTGCTGTTTGTATGCTACGGCCAGACTGAAATTAAGTTCTGATTGTGGCGACTCTGATAGCAAAAAATGCAAATGAGGCTATGGTGACGCCCATGATGTAATCTGGTAGAGTCTGTAGTATGGAGTCAGGCAATTAGTTTTGTCTTGGCATGGTTGGCAGGAATCTGGTTTCAGTTGCCTCGAAGATGTTTTCACATCTAATTTAGTTTATAAAGAAATTTCATAACTGTACTTTCAGTATGATCTGCTAAGATAATGCTACAATAAATTGTATCACATTTCAAAACATGACACTACATCACAGAAGACAGCCATCTTAATTTTGAGACTGAATGTCTGGGCCAAAGCAAAATTATATATATTACTTACCAACACTTTTTCCCATAGCATTAGCCAGATTAGCTACTGTCATGTATTTCCATATATCTATAACTGTGTGTTTTCTTTTAGTTTTAGATGAAAAGTGTATGGCTGTAGGAGATTTCTGAAAAGGTAAAATTACAAGCTATACATAACCTTCACAGACAAAACAAAATTCACTTAACTATTTCAGTGCATATTTCCAAATCCAAATTTCATCAAAATCTATTCAGTAGCTTCATAAATAAATGTTGCAAATGGTTGCACAGCTTAAAACTCCCTGCTATGTATGCAATTTATGCATGACAAACAAAAGTGTACAAAAATACAGAAAATTTAAAAAACAAATTGAAAGCAATAACGTTCAGCTCTCAGACAAGCTTCACACCTTCCTGTTAACAAGGCCTGCAAACAGCGGTACTACAAGTACCACACACCTCTGTGTAATTTCCTTTTTCCCTTCCTTTTTTAACTGGGAAGATAATTCATACAGAATAATTTTCTTGGCACGAATATAGTGTAGCCTCAGCTACATGACTGAAAATATGCATATAGACAGAGAATTACCAGATTTCCTTGATTTTAAGATGTCATCAATTGTAAGATACAGCCTTGATTTAGTAATAGGCTTTTCTTGGGGGGAGGGGGGAATTTTGTATATTACAACAGGAATGGTCAATACTTAAACATAAAACTTCTTTGCATTAATCATTTTGGAATATTCTTTGTTGCAACCTTTGTGTTTATTGACCCATGACTACTGCTATGGACTTGAAGCTTTTCCTTGAACTTAGTCTTACAATGTAATTTGATGACAGTGATTCCTATGTCACTGTAGTTACATTAGGAACCAGAAACATGCTAACCTTCTCCTCTGGACTCTTTCGCTTCTTGCACCATTTAGAAGAAAAATGCAAGAATCGACACAGAACACAGATGTTAAACTGTTGAGACAAACACTTACTCCATACATAGGAATGGTTTTTATTAATACTCTTCTTCCAAAGTGGGCCATACAAACTAAAACAGTCACAACTTTGAATTAAAAAAGGTTGGTAAGTATTTAGTACTTTGTGCTGCAAAACAAAAAACAACGTAAACAAGAAATTAAAACACTTTGCAGATTTTAATTATATAGCTAGCTACGAATGTGCCCCAACACAGTTTGAAAGCAATACATTCACCACTTCAAAGAAGCGCCTGGGCACAGTTCAGATAATAAAAGAAAGTTTAGGTTATACTTGCAAAAGCCAAACAAAAAAAGAACTTTTTATATACCGGTACTAAAATTACAGAATTAAGTATCCAAATTATGATAATAATCAGTAGTACCTTCTTAAAACACTTATTCGTATAATAGGCGTAGCCATACTACATACAAACATTTTCGATAAACGGACTATCCAACCTCAGCCGCAGGATCTACTTCCAACCAAAATTTCAATTGCCATCATTTTCATCGACACAAATACCAACATCACACATTCTCCAAGCAGTCCAACCCCACGAATGACCAACATACACATTTTAACTCTGTACTGATGGAATGAAAACGTAACACGAAGGTTAACGTGGATAATACCATACACAACTTGCCTACAAGAACACAGATAATAAAAACATAAAGCAACCATGAGCTACTCATAATAGTTAAAACAATTGATTGTGCCGTGACTTCTTCTACATCCTTGGCTTATTGAGGTATTATTTCATCCTTCCATTTGGCTCTCCTGACCGAAAATCATTTCTAGTGTGAGGAAATAGGTTGTATTTAGTATATAGGTTTCATATGTGTGGTGTTTGTACTCATAATAAGTTGCAGGATACATGTAACTTTTAAACAAAACTTACTTGTACGCAGTATTCTGTACTGTAGCACATAAATATGATTTTGGGAGCATTAAAATTGTGGCAAAGGTACACATGCCTTAGTGTGGCAATGTGTGTACCAAGACAGAATGTCCATCTATCTTGTGCAAAGATGATTAAGGAAAGTAAGGAAATACTTTTATAGGAATTAGGTTTCGGAACCACGTATATATGCTGTTTATTTAATGCTTAATTTTCGGTTGATCAAACATACTTCAGCCATAGTGAAGCCTCCTAACCTATATCTGATGTTGATCTTGCTTTTTTGGTATCATACTAACATACTTATTAACCCTTTATCCATTTACGTCAAGATCCCATTACATACGAACTTATGGTGGGCAGTGACATGAAAACTTTCCATACAAGCAGTGAAAGCAGAAATCATGAAGTATTGATTTAAAAAGTTCTTATGTAGTGAATTTAGTATACTTATCCATTATTGCTATAAATTTCTTTTGTGTTGATGTATGTTTACAGACACTGATTGAAATCACTCCACATATCCTTTTCACACTGTGAGGAAGTGTTATTAAATAGTCTCTCCTCTGTCTGTTTAGGAAATCACTAGAATAGAGTATTGTTTGCTTCTCTTGCTCTGGACAGAAGTCATCACTGTACAAAGTAACTGTTAATGTTGTATATGTGAAAATAATTGTACTATTATAGTCTTCTTTGTTTAATTTCAGTTCATGAATCACAAGAAGGAAATGTTCGTATATTTCAAGGTGTTAACATTCTCTCTCCTAGGGAACCTTATTTAGTTAAAACAGATGATTCTCGTGGATGTTGCACCATTTGCAGTTTAGGACTAGATGTCAAGCACACGGTAAATTATATCTAACTGATTTTAACATATGCTTTCCTTATCTTTATGGCTCATGATATCTAATTGCACCAGAATAAATTATACATTATTTTTATATTTGTTTCTGAAACCATGTTTTTTTTAAACATCATAAAATGTTGTAATTAGTTCCCTGTTGTTGTAGGATGTCCTGATTTTAAGCCAGTTTCTTAGATCTGATGGCTGTATGCTTCCACGTCGTGTCACAGGTTTATGTAGAAACCAACAGAAGCGAATGAGTAAGATGGTAGCTATGGCACAGAAAGCTGGTAAGAATCCTTCCAATATTTAAATCACCTTATATTTTAAGTGTGTCATTCATTGTAGCAGTACAAAAAATGTCAGTTGAATGCACGTGGATGAAAAGGGCAGGTCACAATTTTTCCAAATTGGTGTGTTTATGGAGTACCATTCTTTCAGTATAGACCCGTGAACTTGTATGCAAACATATATCCCATTCACATCTAGTTTGAGTTCCATCATTGTTTTACAAGTTATATGACGTCACATGCCACTACTTGTGCTGTTTTCATAACAACAACTGTTTTTTAGTGATGTGTTGAAATTCTAATCTATCACTGCTGCAAATATCTTTGCAAGAATTTGGAATAAATTACATAAAAATAATGTCACATTTTTATCTATATCATAAAGGGCAAGTTTTCAGTAACCATGTGAGATTGCTACTTCAGCACGGAGTATAAACAGTGATGACCAAAACTTTCAAAAAGAACACTGTGTTAGTTCAGTCCTACAGTAAAGCTGTTCCTAGGTTATTAATTCTTCTGTTTCACAGTATTACATGCATGAATACACCTCCCAAAGACTAGGATAATTCATCACAAATTATTTCACTGACGACAAGATGACAACCAAAATATTTCTGTAATACAAAAAACTAATTTTTTAATAATTTTTAAATCAAGGCCTGTGCACTACTGCAGCTCAACATGTACTTCTTTTTCAGGTCTAATGCCAAATATAGCACCACCTAAAAGCAAAATGGATCCAAAAAGGAGATATAAGTGGAAAAAGTACAATACCTATTTTGATGAATCAACAATCAAGGATGTGAGAAGTATAACTTCTGGAAAGAAAGGTGCCAGTACTCAGATGTAACAACTAGGAAGGTGTTACTTTATAAATAAACAAAGAAATAAAACTTTAAAACACTGAGTAAATAATTTCTTTTTAAACTAATTTAATAAAAACATCAAAGTTATTCATGTACAATTTTGCTGTTTCCATGTATGAGTATCCTACAAATTTTTAATATGGTTACTTTTATTTCAACATACTATATTTAAAAAAAAACAGTGTCAAAGAAAGTATTCTTACTGGGAAAAGGACCACAACCAACATGTGAACATCTGTTAAGAAACACAATTTGTATTAGTTCACATGCTTCTTCCCAAGATATTTCCAAGTGCACCTGCTATTAATGGAAAATGTTAATAAAATGCAGTGACAGAACTGGCGCGCATTTCAGAATTAATGGTCCAAGGGCAAAAGTAATCGTGAGACTTGCAGGGTGAGTAAGTGGGGTGAAGGAGGAAAGCTAGCGCCTGCATTCCTTGCAAGTCTCAAGATTACAGTCGTGGACTATACTTACACCACTACCAAAATGCAAATTGTGGGGAATACCAAAGAAAGCTGATAGCAACAAAAATCCAAATTAAAGCAATCCTTCATATATTCTGTGCTACTTACTCAAATGTTGTAGCAGCTCATAACAGTGCTAAGTGGAACCGGTGCATATTTTGTAGTAGATGGTGGCATAAACAATATGCAGATATTAGAGATTCTCTACAGTTCATGTGTATTAAATGTAGCCTGTAATAATGAAGTGCAATTAACATCATCCTGGCATCTCATTTTCATTGGCTAATTAAGAGTAAACTGTTTCTTCAAATTTGCTTCTGTAGGACTGTAACTGATGTTAAGAACCTGTCAATGGTACTGCCACGCACACATCAGTATTACTACATACCACTAAGCTTCTTCAATTAATTTCTGTACAATGTTTATATATTTATTTGTTTATTATATACGTATGACTATAGAACCCTTTGGACATCCTTCAGTATTTAGCACATCAAATTACATAATTTACTTACAACATAAATGACCTTATATTAAAAATTATAACCTTTACCGTCCTGGAAAGAAACCAATCGTACCACTTCAAGAAAGCAGTTCTCATTCCTGCAGTTTCTGAACAGTTAAAGGGCATTACATATACTGGGTGACCAATGTTTTGTAAAATAATATATAGCTTCCTAAAACCCCAGTGTCTTTCTGAACACGTGCATCAGACATGTTGACTCTGAGGGGAATATTACTTGTACGTACAATTCTCAATGCAAGTACTGTAATTCCAAATATGAAGCAGGCCAGAAGTTTACAGCACTTAAATAAGCTTATTCATAATGAACACGTTAGTGCCTGGATGCAAATGTGTGTTATCAAAATATCCTGCACATGACAGAAATCTGGATTTCTTGGGGTCAATTGTGAATGTCAACTGGCACAAATACCACATTTAACAGAAATTAAAATGACAAAATTTATTTGCAAAAAATTAAAAATGCAGCACAAATTTATCTAGCAGAATGTCAGATTAGGGTATCTCTGTATCTGGATATGAACATTTTCAGTATCGCCCTGATGACGGAGGCAGTATGACCTATGAACTACACGGCGCAACAACCCAGAAGACAAAAATCTTCATAATCACCGCTGTGAAAACCTCAAATCTTACATTTTCAGTATCTGACTGAACAACTGCATTTTTATACAAATTCTTAAAATGAAATGCCAAACTTCAGACTGGAAGAAAAAAACTAAACTAAACATTCAAACTGTGGATTGTTTTAATGCCATATATTTGGAACTATTTTACAAGCATTTCACACGTATTTTAATTGCAGTCAGACTCAATCCTATACATTCATGGAAATGAAAGTGAATTCATATTTTGAAGCAGTGTATGATCCCTTTTAATGCAATTAATATTTTAATATAAAATAACATGTATCTTTCCAATAAATGCAAGCATTCAATCACTTCAAAAATAAAGTGTTACAGTGTAACAAGCTTCAGAAGAAGGAAATAAAAATATAAATTGTTATGGTTATATGAGATAAATGATTAGCATAGAATTGTAATTTGCTAGTCATTGCATTTCGTTGCTAACAAAAAAACCAGGGGCCAAATGTTAGCACCCACTACTGTATACAGTAACAAATAAAAGAAACAACCTTAAAAATGTTGGGGCATGATTTTGAAATGAGAACAGCATTCTCAAGAACCTGGTATTATTCCATGGGGAATTAATGCCCTGTTTAACAGCATTCGTGGAAAGCAAAATCAGAGCTGTATGATTAAACCAGATATGGTTAGCAGAGTTGTGGAACTTGATGACAAGTCAGTGTGTCAGGAAATTGCATACAAACAGCAGAAGGGACATGCTTGACAGAGAAACGTTATGCAGCAAATGAATTGCTCAAGGCATCTCAGAAGGAATGCAATTAACTTTTTTTTTTTAAAAAAAAGAGTTGATGTTTGAATTATCACAATGCAAGTTATCTCTGAAGTATGCAGAGACACTTATGGAGGCTGCCCAAGCTGCTTGTAGAGGGGATGGAAGTGTTCGAATCAGTGAGTTTGAAAGTCAGTTGACAAAAATGAAGGAAGAGCTCTTTAAAAAACAGGGCAGAATTAAGGAATTGTAAGGTATTCTGGAGGATGCAGAGGTAGACTATAAGCAGCTTGATGATGACTTGAAAGCAACAGAAAAGGAAAGAGATGCCCTTGATCTAAAGCTTGCAGAGAAGGAAAGTGAACTTGGACGCAGTGTGGACGCTTTGAGTGATAAACAGCACATATTTGACAAGCAGCTGCTTAGCCTACACAAGAAGGATGAGTGCATTGAAATTCTGGAAAAGCAACTAAAAGAGCTGCAAGAGAAGTATGATGGTGACATGAAAACCATGACATTGAAAAATGAAGAACAAGAAAAAGCACTGAAAACATTAACGGACAATAAATCATTAAAATTATTTATGGCAGATGTATTGAAAAAACAAGAGGAAAACAACAATGAGAATGAACATAATCTTCAAGAATTGAAAAATAAATTAACGGAATCTGTATCTGCAGTAATTTATCTTCAGATTCCTTTAATTTATTTTTCAATTCTTGAAAAATAAATTAAGGGAATCTGAAGATAAATTACTGCAGATACAGGAACTGGTACAAATTCACCAGAAAGGAGATACGTCTGCTTCATCGCTAACAAGCAATAGAGATTATCAACAATTGCACAGTCAAATTGAGACCCTTATAAATAAAGTTGAACTGAAAAAACAATTGGCACTGGAGCGCTCTGACCGTAGAAACTGAACTAAGACGAGAGCTGTGTGACTACTTCTCCAATATGATGGTTGAAGCACGAGCAGAGTGGGAGTCTTGACTGCAAGACACGCAACAACGATATGAGCAATTAGGTGACAAGAGATTGCGCAATTTGCAGGATTACTATGAACAGCAGCTAACAAGAAAAAGACATTGTGCTGATTCCTCCAAGGATGTGGAAGGGAAGATATTCAATTTACAACACAGCTAAAGCAAAAGTATGAGCCAGGACCTGTCCAAAGGAATCTTCCAACTATAAACTATAAACAAACTTTGATGAACGTTTGAAGTTACGAGTATGGCTTATAAAAATTCATAACAACTAGATTTGATACAGAAATTATATATAAACAATGAACACTGCTATCATGAATCCTCATAAATGTAATAATGTAATTTATCACATTCCTTTTTTTTTTTGGGGGGGGGGGGGGGTTAAAAATTACTTATCATGAACTGCTCTTAGGGCAGCTTGAATGTATTCTCATTTTAGTTCTTCGAAGATGGAAGAACAGTGAAACAAGAACTAAGTAGACACATTTCTCTCTAACACATGTTAAACTGTATGCACAAAATAATAATAAAATATAATTATTAATAGTATACACATGTAATGGACTGAAGTGCAATGAGAAGAAGTAAACACTTTCAATTTGTAAGTTAACACTTATGAAATTTGATAATAAGGATAAAATGCAAGAACCTTCTAAGCCACACATAATTTTTATAGAACTATCATAACAAGCTTTTTGATGCGAAGAATTTATGGTCCACACATTGTACGGATTCATAAGTATAAAATGTCATGTCTCTACAAGTAGCATATTCTGTCAACATATAAATGATGTAAGACAATGACTGTAAGAAACTGGTACCCTATTTCCACAACATTTCCACAGGCAATTTCTATATAATTAGTTTTCATATTCCAGATGTTTAGTAACAAATAGTTATTTTCCATTTTTCACTATTGCCACCTGAAAATTCATATAATACCTAGTGTCTATGATACGCATAGCGCACCGTATCCCCACACATACACACACACATTTAATTTATAGAATGGTAATTTAATCATTATTCTCATATGCTGGAGATGTAGGTGAATAAGTGGGGGAGGTTGGAGAGTACCCTGGCACAGCAGGTGAGTATGTAGGTGATGAAGGGCTGTAGTTGGGGGAAGTAGGGGTATATGTCGGACTTGTGGGAGAGTACTTGGAGCTTGACGGCGAGTACTGGGGACTCGTCGGAGAGTACGTAGGGCTCGTTGGCGAGTAGTTAGGCGAAGTGGGTGAGTAGCGCGTGGAAGCACCTGGTGTATGCTGTGGTGAGCTGGGAGAGTACGATGGACTCGTTGGGCTATATGTTGGGCTTGTGGGCGAATACTGTGGCGATGCTGGAGTATATTGTGGCGATGAGCCAGGAAAGGATGGGGACGTTGGAGAATAGGATGGCGACGTTGGAGAGTACTTGGGACTGCTAGGTGAGTAGCTGGGGCTAGCAGGTGAATACTGTGGTGAACTTGGAGAATAGCTTGGACTGGTCGGTGAGTATGACGGAGAGGCGGGCGTGTAGTTAGGAGAACTGGGAGAGTAACTTGGGCTGGTCGGACTGTACGACGGACTTGTCGGCGAATAAGACGGAGTCGTCGGAGAATATGAAGGGCTGGTAGGAGAGTAACTTGGACTTGTTGGTGAATAGGATGGACTGGTCGGGCTGTAACTAGGGCTTGTTGGACTGTAACTTGGAGATGTTGGACTGTAGCTTGGACTTGTTGGAGAATATGATGGACTAGTTGGGCTATAGGATGGACTGGTAGGACTATAGCTGGGACTTGTTGGACTGTAACTTGGAGAAGTAGGGCTATATGAAGGAGAAGTAGGAGAATAAGATGGGCTTGTTGGAGAGTAGCTGGGGCTGGTTGGTGAGTAATTTGGTGATGTGGGAGAATATGACGGACTTGTTGGACTGTAATTCGGACTTGACGGCGTGAGGCTGGGTGAAGGAGCATATGCTGGACTTGATGGGGAATAGTTTGGTGACATGCCACTCACTGGGCTTGGAATGTATGGACTCATTGTTGGACCAGGTGAAGACGGACTTCCAGGTTGCGGGGAATAAGGAGAATATCCTGGTGATAAACCGCTTGCATCACTGGCACCTGACGGTGAGAAACTCGGTCCACCTGGAGTTGCACCACTACCTAACACTGAAACATTAAAATATTTATTGTAACAGTTATCTTACAATCCCCATTTGTACATCTTTTGGACTGTGCTGATAAATGTATGAACACTAAAACCCTGTACTTACTATTGCCTGGAGACCATGAACTAACATAGGCTGGAGTTGCACCCTGGTTCCATGGAGTCATGTGTGGACTCATGGATGGTGTTGCTGCACTGCCAAAGAACATACCTCCTCCCATCATACCTGCACCCATGCTCATTGGTATTTCTATACCAGCTTTGCATTTCTCTGCATCGAGCAGCAAATCAAATGCTCCTTGAAAAAATAACATTAAAGATTGAGTGCTATAACATCATTTTATAATTGCAGTGGCTTCTAACCCATGAAGCCCATTCAACATACAATGTATATTCATAGCAACACTAAATTTTTGGTGTAAATTTTGCAGGCCTTTCTTCCCCAGTAAATTTAAAATCTGTTGGCATGTGCTGAAAGATTTAATCATGAGGTTTCTGTTTGTATATGGAACATTATTTCATGATGTACAGTGTCTCGTGTATCTTGCCTCTAGTCTATCCCTTCATCAAGGGTGCTGCAATACAATAGAAACACATTTCTATGTAGTACAGGATTTTCAAACTCAGATTGTGCAACAGTTTCAGGAATCGAAATCTCTCTCATTCACGTATGATTGACAAAAGTAGTCAAAATATATGGATATATTGCTGACATTACATGCCTTCTGTTTATGTTTGTACTGAGTCTCAGTCACCGTATAAAATTACAGGAAGATATTTATATAGAATTAAATATTCCAATGTTGAAGGGGGAACAACACACATGATTACTCACCTGTGCCAAGTCTAGGAAGTTGTCCCATAATGATATTTTCTGATACACCTCTCATGGGGTCTACTTCAGCATGTGATGCAGCATCCATTAATACATCAACTGTTTCTTCGAATGAACACCTCATGAGTGCGCCTGTATCTTGTCGGTTGATCCCGTGACGCGTAATGGCCATCAAATGGCCTTTGGCAGTCATTACGTCACACAGCAGGGCAAGATGTCGATAGTTTACGTACAAACCATAGAACTGTAGAACTGTATTCATTTCTTTCTCCACTGATTTACGTACAGCCTCAATTCCAAGAACCTGACAGGGGGACAACATTAAAAAATATAAATACTGCACCATTCTTGTACTAAGAATGAGTGCTACTAATGGATGGATATTCAACCTAAAAATCTAGGCACTACAATGTTTTAAATTCAAAAAGAAAGGAATAATCCACACAGAATTAATAAACAATGTGAGAAAGACTCATTATTTTAAATATATATACACACACACCGTAATGACTCTGAAATGCAAAATACTTACAGAGAAAATTTCACAGATGTCATTGGAGAAAGTCCTGTTTGTATCAACATCTCTTTCACTCAATACTTTCATCATACTTGTTCCATCAGTTTCCAACAACCACTCGGCAATTGCTTTGAATTCTCCTGTCTCAGTTACGATTATTCGTTTTTTCGAATCTGTTTGGGGCAAGTGCATGTACACTTTGCCTATGGCTTCAATGCCCTGTTAAAGAAGAAAAAAATAACTGTGTGTAAAATGCGGTGCATGAGGATATTTTTAAGTCACAGATAAGGAGAATTATAAATTACTTTATATTCTTTTTAACAACTTCCATTTATTTTGAGAAAGTGTTTAATGATGATTGGCTGTTTTTGACTCCTCACAGTGGTACAAATTTTCCTCATAGACCCTTGCAACACCCCCCTCCCCCAATGCAGACAGTATGGTGCAGAAAGATGACAAAAGGCTAGCTCAGTAATTTTGGAACAAAACCTCCAATTATAACAATGCACTTGGGAAGCAGCGACTTGCTTTACAAACTTTCTCCAGGAATGTAACTATTCATAAGAGTGGAAACTGCCTGCACTAAATATTTAAACATATGTCATATCTACTTTCCACCAGAATTTTAAAACTGCAATTATATGAAACATCATGTAATGACAGTAATATGCATACTGAAAGGAAACAAATGCAAACTATATTTAGTTCTTGAAATCTTATTATCATCATTAATGCACAAGAATTATTTTATCCTCATTTTCTGACAACGGGTAACAAGTAGAATCGAGATGCAAGATGCATACAAACCTGCAATGTCATGTCCGACAACATATTTGCTTCAATGCACCGAAGGAACATGTCATCTTCCATTTTGTCCACAGTCTCTTCTTCATCTTGGAATTTGTTATCATCACTGTTCATGATACGAATACGCAAAACTAGTTTCTCTGCATTGTCATCATTAAAGATGCAATTGAGGTCATCACCAAAACCTGCATTAATTTTTTCTGCGATCTGTTCCATGGTTAATTTTTTGTCTGTAAACAGAGATTAGTCACAGATAAACTTGTAAAATTTGCACCGAAAGGAAATGTAAAAACTGACAAAAGTACAAAATGTGTCTCCTTGTAATACTTTGTGGGTATTTACATGCTTCCGTTCAAGCTAGAAATGTTAAATCTTCATATGCATACTCCATTTTGACCTTCAAGGACACCCCAGAGAACTTCAATAGCTCTTTAGA